CAAAACCCAAATCCCCAAACAACTCCGTTCCAAATGACCAAACTACCACCATTTTCACAAATCAAAACCCTAACACTAGGTCATTCAAGTCTTCTTCCTCTCCTTTGCATGTGTTGTTCTGGCCATATGGGTCAGATTCTGACCATGCTGAGGCCACCCTCCTTGCCTTGGGAAGGGCAGATTTGATGATAATAGGAGCAAGGCAAAGCTTAGGGGGGTGTGATAAAGTAAAAGGACTCACACCACCCCTTGGAGTGGAGGGGAGCAAACCCCCACTTCAAGGTTTTGGGATGCTGAAATGGCACTAATCTTTATTCAGAGTCCCTCGAATTGTTTGATTTCTTAGGTTAAAGAAAGATTGTTCATGGGGTAAAAAGGGCTGGTAAAAGAGGTCAGAATCATAGCAAGCTGTCTTGTGGTTAGTTTAAGAAATTTGGAGGGGTTGGGTTTTCCAAGGTGGGAATAGTGGGTTCCTTTTGGGAATTGGACTCGTCAACAAACAGGTTCTGAGATAAAAGAAAAAGGGTAGGAGTACTGCACACATCTTGGAAAGAAGGTTGATTTGGAAACATATTTGATCACATTGGGTGTGATTCATTGCATGTTTAGGCCCAGGTTTTACTTTCACCTTGCAAACCAGATTTTGGTTAAAAATTCCAAATGGTAGGAGCCAGCATTAGGATATATATATTAGGGTTCATTCTCCCATAATGTTTAGTACTATTTGACTTTGTTTGGTTCTCCTCCTTGCTTGTGCATAAAGTTTACCTCCATTCAGACCATGGTTGACAGTGTTGGCATCTACACACAATTCATGACTTAGATCAGCAAAAAAATGTTTCATTGAGTGATTCTTAAGACTAGTAATCCTTTTTGTTGTTGTTTAGGTATCAATTACTAATTTCAAAGTTTTGTGTGTTCTTCTTGTGACTTTTTGTTCATAAGAGTATACAATTTTCTTGGAATTGCTACTTGAAGCAGGGAATGAACTAAGATGTTGTGTAATAATAATTAATTATATAGTAAATGAATGCACCAAAAGATTTATTTTTTATAATTAAGTTAATATATAATTAAGTTAACATATACATGTGGAAAGCATACTTGCAACCATACACATATGAAGATTGGCTATAGGTATCTGCTACTCAAACAAAGAACATGAAATATATCGGATATGTATGTCATTTATAGATAAGTATAATAAGAGTGGCATGTAGTTAAAGCTGTTCTTTCAAGAAATTAACTTCATTCTCGAGATAAGAAAATAAGGGCATTATCTGTTTGACTAGCATAAGTGAGGCACCTTAATACCATGTCCTAAGAGATGTTAAAGAAAAATGATATGACAAGAGTAACCCCCATGAAGCATGATAATTGTGTAGGTTATTTTGTGGTCTCCCATTTGAAATTCAATATCATTCAGTTGGTGTTGTACATTCTTATTAAAATGTCTTGAGTTAGGGAAGAGGGAAGAAGGAAAAAAATGTTTTAATTTTTTTTTTAATCTTTACATCAAGAAGTTCCAAAATAGGGTTTATTTGGCCTTTATCAATGAAGTGGTGAAAACCTGATAATATTTTTGTAGGAAGAATTCCACCTAGTATTTTTATTGTCAAGCTTACACTGTCTTTTTTACACAACTATGTCATTTTTTTTTCTTTCTCCTTGATGAAGATTTTTATTCAATTATCAGCTATCTAAAATCCCTTAATTTTCTTGACTTGCTGTCTTTCTTTTTTTTTAATTAGGAAAATACTGGTTATCTTCCATATGCTATAACATCACTAGGATTATACATTTGTACACATTGTGATATTTGGTCTACAAGTAGAGTCTTAGTACATGTACACCAACCTCTGATGACCTCTATAGCACCACTTCACTATGGGCATTTGTAGGAGGAGAGGCCAATTCAAACCCTGTGTCTTATAATATGCTCATAGGAAGAAGCCAAGCAACAATTGCAGGACATAACAACACTTGCTGATGGATTAAAAGATAGAGAGAGAGAGAGAGCAACACAGAGTGCTGCACTTAATTAAAAATTATCCCATAATAAAATTCTAAACCCAAAATAACCAAACAAGTCCATTTAGCCTCCCTAGAGTTCCCTACTTCCAAGGAGCTATCTATCTACCTACAAAACCAACAAAGCTTAAACCATTGGAAACCAGAGGCATTTGTACTAATCCTGCTATAAACTAATTGTACTGAAGCATCAAAGGGAGCAGAACAAGAATCAAACCCTACTATCAAGTGAACTCATAGCCTTGCCAACAGTGGAGACTTTACTGCTTGGTGTCTGTCCATTCATTATTTTCTTGGCTCCTAGTGCAAGGTTGCTTTAACTAAACCTCCCTTATCATGTCACTTGAGTCATGGAGCCCCAAACCCTAATGGGTAGGTGGCTACCATAGTCCTCTATGCTGCTGTCACATCTGATTTCAAATCCTCCAACCAAGTCATCCTTTTGTGCTGAAGTCTATGCATCAAATTCACAGTTTCATGAGCAGAACCCTAGGCAAGTGTTGTAACAGGTGCATCCATCCTTCCAATATTTTTACTAGTTTAGGGTCAGGAGGAAATGGTACCAGGAGTTAATTCTGTTAATTAATTGACAGATCTGTGACTATATACCTAGGAACAAGGAAGAGAATGGTTTGCCATTTTACTCCCTCAGTAGTCGGATTTAGCAATAAAGAGTCACATATCAGGTTTCTAATTGCTCATACCATAAATCATGCAAGGCCTGCTTGATCATGTGTCCTGATCCACTTGGGCTAAGGCCCTAAATATCATTAAGACTATGCTCTTTGAGGTTGTATAGTGTGACTCATATATCAATCAAATCCTACTCTATATTTTATGTAGTACATTTAGATTATAATATTACAGTCTCCAGTTCTTGTTTCATCTATAAGATCAGCTCCCTCTGTAAGATTTATTTATTATATATTTGGGCCATACAATTTTTTTTATAATAGTACATACATTCATTTATTATTTACTTATTAATTTAATAAAACATATATATATATTTACCTTTGAATAAATACTAAAAAAATTAAAAGGGTAAACTTATCACATAATATTCAATAGACTTTTAAAATATAATTTTACCAAACTATATTTTACATCAAATACACATTAAAATGTCATGAACAACGATTACTAATTCGATACCATACGCATCAAAATGCGAATTAGAGTCAAAGTCAGCGGTGGCATGATGGGCCGTGATGGAAACGGCACCCAGAAATTACCCAATTTGCTTTCCCAGTCCACCCCCTGTAAGCATCTTCTTAGGAAGAACACGAATCCGAGATGCACGCAGCGGACCAAGTTAATTGGGTTTGGGTCCAGCTTTCTCTTTTGTGTTTAGTTGTAAACATGAAATCTTTAATTAAAACCTCTTCTACGTAACCTTCGGACACCACAATGGCAATCACACGTATCTGCTTTGATTGGTTGTATCCATCGACAAGGAGAAGGAACATTAATGGCGTCTGCACAAAGCTCGTCCACTTGTATCCATTCGACTGCTGTATTGTATCAAGTCATTTATCTCGTTCACCACATACAAATGCGCCTCAGCTATTGTGGCTAATTTTCTAGACAAGAAGCACTCCATTCTGACGATGGAGAGGAGATGGTAGGGTGAGATTGGATCTTTCTGCTTCAGGCAGTGATCTCTAATTCAACTCAACAGACTCCATGGATGTGGAGATGCAAGTAATCCAAACATGAACATTAGTTTACCCTTATTTTATGGCTAATTGATTTCTCTTTGAGATTTCTGATCTATTGCAGCGTCTAATCAGCTAGCTCTCTGACAAAGCAGGAAGTTCCCAACCATCTTCCAGTCTGTAAGATGGCACAAACAAAGCTTTATTATGTACATTCGAGATAAGAGACAGAAGAAATGAGATAACTGAGGAAGACGATTGCACCCCAACTCACCCGAGGCACCGTAACTCTGGATTCAAATTAGAGTAATAATGGGCTTAAATATATATATATATATATTATTTATTTTAATTAATTATACTTAGTATTTCGATCTATATATTTTTAAAAATTATATTAAATTTTTTATACTTACTAAAGTGAAACATTTAATCCTTTTTTTTCATGTCGTCAATTCTGCTGATTAAATTATCCTATTGTTTATAAAAAAAATATTAAAATAAAATTTAAAAAGTAAATTATAGTGCTATTCTTATTGTTTAAAAAATGATTTTATTGGGAAATGAAATGCTATTCAATTCTTTTATCTTTTTTCTCATTGTTTTTGAAGATTTTATTATAAACTGAAGTATTCCATAGAAAATATCTCTCTTGTGATCTTGTCTTATCATCCGACTATTGTAGAATTGTTAATTTTTTAACTATTGTTTTCATAGAAATTAAAAAAAATAAAATCAATGAAAATAGTATTGTAAAATTATTTTTTAATTTGATTTTAGTATTATTTTTTGCATGTGATAGTACTTACAGTATTTTCATCGGTAGAATTGATGATACAAGGAGAAATGAGATTAAATATCTTATTTTTAAAAGCATGAAGATTCTAATTTCTATGTAATTAATCATAAGGAATAACGTGTCATCAACCCATCACACGTTTAATCCAACGAAAATTTTTTATATCGGAGAGATGCCTTATCCACACGCCGAACATGGCTTCTATCATTTATAAGGCGCCTGTCTCGGCTACCTGCCTTTTGATAGGACATCGCAGTCAGGTCGAAGCGGGTCCCGCTGTGGACCTCTATTCGTTCGGTAACGGGGCGGGTAGATGTGCGGGTGGGCGAATGTTCGTAAGCGGTCGAAACGAAACGGTTGACGCTGGAGGACCAGCGATCGGTTGGGCAAAGGCAGCCGACTAATTCATCTTGACCGTGCGTTGGTGATCCGACGGAGAAGAGAGGACTTGATGCACGCAGACGGGGAAGCGTCCGTTGAGTCTTCTCCGATGCCGCCCAACACTACGGGATTCGATGGTTCTAGAAAACGGACGAGGCGACGACGCCGCTTGACTATGACCACCGCTGATCCCTCGTCTCGGTCGCAGGTGCGAAAGCCTCGAAGAGAAGACAGGGGCCTCTCGATCGAGAGAGGGAGAGAGGTCGAGTCGGAGCTTCGCGGCCCCTTCACGGTACGATCCCGGTCGCCTTCGTTTGATCCATTGGCTATTTTCCCCGTCCAAAGCCCTAAGTTTCGGTGTTGTCCGATTGATCTGTCAACCCTTGAATCCGATCTTTCCGTCGTGAATTCATCTTATCCGTTTTCGATCATTCATCATGCTTTCGGTTGTTACTCCATAAACTGAACTAAAAAAGACTGGTGATGTTCTTCTATGAGATCGTTTGTTCTCATGATGTGCAGAGCTCCCACTTCCAACACCGGAATTTAGGAGGTGATTCTATAGAAGATGAGTGTTGTTGGATTTGACGTTGGAAATGAGAGCTGCATTGTTGCTGTTGCCCGCCAACGCGGCATCGACGTGGTGCTCAATGACGAATCGAAGCGTGAGACTCCTGCCGTGGTCTGCTTTGGAGAGAAGCAGCGGTTCATCGGAACTGCTGGCGCGGCGTCCTCCATGATGAACCCCAAGAACACAGTTTCACAGATAAAGCGCCTCATCGGCAGGAAATTTTCCGATCCCGAGCTCCAGAGGGATATCCAATCCCTTCCATTCAAGGTGACCGAAGGGCCAGATGGGTTCCCGCTAATCCATGTCAACTATCTTGGTGAGCAGAGGACCTTTACTCCAACCCAAATTCTTGCGATGGTTCTTTCCGACCTGAAGGGGATTGCCGAGAAGAATATGCATGCGGCTGTTGTGGATTGCTGCATAGGAATTCCAGTGTACTTTACTGATATCCAGAGAAGGGCAGTGCTGGATGCTGCCACTATTGCTGGATTGCATCCTCTCCAGTTGTTCCATGAGACCACTGCCACTGCATTGGCTTATGGTATCTACAAGACGGACTTCCCAGAGAATGATCAGCTGAATGTGGCTTTTGTCGATGTGGGTCATGCAAGCATGCAGGTCTGCGTTGCTGGGTTTAAGAAGGGGCAGCTGAAGATTTTGGCACATTCTTATGATCGGTCCCTTGGAGGGAGAGATTTTGATGAAATGCTTTTCAAGCACTTTGCTGCCAAATTCAAGGATGAATACAAGATCGATGTGTATCAGAATGTACGAGCTTGCCTCAGGCTTTGGGCAGCGTGTGAAAAGTTGAAAAAGGTTCTCAGTGCAAACCCAGAAGCACCACTGAACATTGAGTGTTTGATGGATGAGAAGGATGTGAGAGGGTTTATCAAAAGGGAAGAATTTGAGCAGATCAGCGCCCCAATATTGGAACGAGTTAAACGGCCATTGGAGAAGGCACTTGTGGAAGCAGGGTTGAGTGTGGAGAATATTCACTCGGTTGAGGTTGTTGGGTCAGGTTCCCGAGTTCCAGCCATTATTAGAATCTTGACTGAGTTTTTCGGGAAAGAGCCTAGACGGACAATGAATGCAAGTGAGTGTGTTGCTCGAGGCTGTTCACTACAATGTGCCATCCTCAGTCCAACATTTAAAGTCCGGGAGTTTCAGGTATCTATTTCTCCACTTCACTTGATCGAAGTTAGGACCAAATTTGTTATATTTAGGCTATAATTATTAATTCACTTGATAAAAGATTTAGATTCGGAATTGTTTAGTAACTCTTAAGTTCTTTTGAACTTTTGGTTGCACAGCCAATTTGCTGATTTAAACATTTGATTGTTTCTCTTGAGATATCTGTTAACTGTTACTTTTTGGGTACATGATTGTTCTTGTAGGTCTGTAGTCGCTTTCTACTGAGGTGTATGAAGCTCTTGCATTTAATGTTATTTTGGATATGAAACAATATATAAACTGTCCTTGCTTGCTTGCACCCTATTTGCAGTTTCATTGTAAGATGGCTTAATTTCTTAACTTTTAGTTAAATTGTTATCTGTTTGGTTTTAAAGTCAAGGTTTTTAACTTCTTTTCTTGAAAAAGGACCCTGTTCAGAAAAAAAAAATCCCCTTAGGGCTCCTTTTTTTTGTCTTCACTCGCTCAAGTATCCCTTAGACATCTTTTGTCTTGTGTTGCACACCTTGCGCAATGAAATGTGTTTAAAGGACTCTTAAGTGATAATAAATCAAAAAGGGGACATAAGTAGGAATAAACAAAAAACTGGTGCCTTTGATGGGAAATTGTCCATGAAGATGATTGATTAGAAAGAATATTATAAGCAATAATCTCGTTACAGGATTGGTCAACTCTGTCACTTTAACTGTCTGATTATCAACTCATATTACTTGTTTAATATTTCATTTAATTAACAATTACTCAGGTGCATTGCCAACTAGTTAACAACTTATCGTGTGTGATGGCTGTGGTACATTGCACTCTCAACAAAACTGTTATGCAATATTTGTTGTGTATCTTGTCTAAATTTGAAGTGATCTGTGTGGTTTTGTCCAACTTTGTACAGCTATGAGGGCTTTGGTTCTATTTAATTTTGTGTTTGATTGCATTTGTGTTCCACAAAGTCTCAAAAAGAAAAGGGTGGTCCGGTGCACAAAGCACCCATCAGTGTGGTGTATGGGAGACTGCAAAATTAACCTGAAAGCAAAGAGGCTGTTTGCCTGACTCATGCCCAAGCCACCCAAGTAGAAAAGGGGCTACCTTATTGTGGTATTAAGGTTCACCCTCTTGTATTCTTCAGTTAGTTATCATAAGCAAATTATTAGATGGGGAAGAAAATGGAATGTGAAAAATAGTTGGTTCTTTATGAATAGTATGTGGGATACAAATACATTTGAGTAAATGCTTGCTGATTTGATTTATTATCATTGTCCAAGTATCAACTAACGTGGTTTAAATGCCTGCTGGTTGTCATACTTTTTGTCTTCATGTAACCAAAGTTATTATCTTTCTGCTGGTGGTTGTTTCAGCAATTCTTTTATTTATCCGTGCGATCTTTTTTCTGAGGTGTGTGTGTGTCAGCTTTTTTTGTATATGTTTCTTTATACCGGTGCTTGTGAATATGCTTGAACATATGGCTTCTTGTCTTTGACATGTGTTATTTCTATGTTTAAAGGTTCATGAGAGTTTCCCCTTGTCAATAGCATTGTCATGGAAAGGATCTACCCCTGATTCCCAGAAAGGAGAATCAGAAAGTCAACAGAGTTCAGTCGTGTTTCCCAAGGGAAATCCAATCCCTAGTGTCAAAGCTCTTACATTTTATAGATCTATTACTTTTACAGTCGATATCATTTACACTGATGGTGGTGATTTGCAAGTTCCATCAAAGATTAGCACATATGCGGTAACTCTCATCTACCTATATATCCCACTGAAATATTCCTTTTTTTCCTTTTCTTCGTGTTTGTTTACAATCATGAATCTTGTTGGACAGATTGGTCCTTTCCAATCTGGCAAAGGTGGGATTGTGAAGTTGAAAGTAAAAGTTCGGATGAATCTTCATGGAATTGTTTCTGTTGAATCAGCCACTGTAAGTCATGAGAAAGAAGTTGCTGTTCTTGCTGACAGTCAGTCGTGAACTTCGGGCTTTTTCTAAATAAAATAAATGTGCCCTGTTCTTTGCAGATGTTGGAAGAAGAAGAAGTTGATGTTCCAGTGTCAAGCGCTACAGAGCTAACAATGGAGGCTACAAATATGGACATGGATGAAGCAACAAATGATTCCTCCAAAACTGAAAATGACGTAAACATGCAGGAAGCTAAAGGTTCGGTTGGTAATTCTAGTGGTGGGATTGAGAATGGGACATCAGAGATCGAGGAAAACGCTGTGAGGATGGAGACAGATACCAAGGTTTGTATATCTTAGCTTGCTCGTCTTGTTACCATTGGTCATTTATGGGTCTTTAAAAGCTTCAAAAAAAATTATACAAAAAGATGAAAAGAAAATTCTGCACTTTTTTTTCTGTGGATCTTTTGCATTAGCATCATATAGCAAGACATCGTTTACTAAGCTGGGAGAGAATTTATTTTGCACTTTTATCATACTATTAGTTTGAAGGTCAATATAAGATTGGAAAGGAATGACAATGGACAATTTTTTGTCATTGACAGAGAATAATGTGTCAATGAATTCTCATGGAAACTCTAAAATCTGTGACACTTGAAAAGAGTAAAAAGTTCACTTCAAGTGGATGCTTGAGCACAAGAACGAGTTCTACTGAAAATCCTGGAAGTTGCTAAATTCTAAGAAAAAAAGAAATTGAGGTCACTAGAATGACAGATAATTATAGGTTTACAAATTCCAGATCAGTCAGCATCAATTTCAAGTTGTTCAACAAGCAAGAGAGGATTACCTTTTGTTGCTCTAGGAATGGTAGAAAGTCATCATCAAAAAGGTGCACAGCATTTGTTGTAGACTTGGGTACGCAATTTTGGTGAGAACAGTTGTAGTTCCAGAACTGTAAATATGGACATGATATATAAAGGTTAATTTGGGTTTTTTTTCCATGTGTTGATTTGTTGTTTGTGGATTAACTAGACTATGCTTGAGTGGACGACCATAACTGTGGAGAATTGTTGAGGTTGGTGAGTAGAATTCCATATATTCTTCCACAAGATTTTCTTAGAAACTAAACTAGCATTAGCATTTATTGTTTTCTTTTTAAGGTACCTTTCAATAGGATCACTTATATCACATTTTTGATAATATAGAGCGAGGCCAAAAATAATCTTGAATTAAGAAAATAAAATGATCCTGTTATGGGCCGTAGATGACTGTCTTTGTTGTGCTTTGGCTAATTAGCAACATTATTATTGAATGAAGTCCGAGCATAAGATGTGTATATTGTCTTCTTCATAGATAAAAGCATTTGTAATTGTCGAAGTTCACTTCTTTTTTTCTTTGTTGATCACGGCACCTTTTGTTTTTCAACTAATTATAAATTTTTAATTTTTAACCATTGGAATTAATTGTTGTCGCTCTTAATTATACAATTCTTGAATAAATTACTTGTTATAAGAATTACAAAATAATAATAATAAGATGGTCAATTACAAACAGTTGCTGATTACTCAGTGGTTGGGCTTCAGCTTTTGGTACTTTATTGGGGTGACCTTTACATCTTCTATAGTATTCTCTCTTTGTATCTTTTTGTATGTTAGTTGTAGCTATGTTTGTTCCTTAAATTAACTCTGTAATATATAAATTCTCATTCTTTTACTACCACCATGTATCATGGAACCATTTCATGCCACTGATGGTTTGAGATGCACATATCATGGAACCATTTCTAGCCTTTTGACTTGGTGTTGTGATTTGAGCTGAAGATTATGTGTTGTGCAGGTGGAAGTTCCTAGAAAGGTCAAGAAAACCAACGTTCCCATAACTGAATTGGTTTATGGTGGGATGTTAGCTGAAGAATTGCAAAAAGCAGTTGAGCAAGAGTTTGAGATGGCTCTCCAAGACAAGGTGATGGAAGAAACTAAGGACAGGAAAAACACTGTGGAGGCATATGTGTATGACATGCGAAACAAGGTATGGTATTTCTTTTTCATCTTTCCAATGTGGATTCGGCTTTTTAATTTGAACTGATCCTAAATTCTTGATATGCAGCTGCATGACAAATATCAGGACTTTGTAACATCAACAGAGAAGAAAGAGTTTATTGCAAAGCTACAGGAAGTCGAGGATTGGTTGTATGAAGATGGAGAGGATGAAACAAAGGGTGTTTATGTTGCTAAGCTTGAGGAGCTCAAAAAGGTATAAGGTTGCATTGGGACGTAGTATGCAACTTAAGAAAATGGCAGCTGTTTGATGCTTCTGATAATGCCTTGTCTTGTTTCAGACAGGTGATCCGATTGAAGAGCGTTACAGGGAGTGGGCAGAGAGAGGTCCTGCTATTGATCAACTTGTTTATTGCATTAATAGTTTCAGAGAAGCAGCATTGTCCAGTGATCCTAGATTTGATCACATTAATATAACTGAAAAGCAGAAGGTAAATGTTCAAGAGTATATCTTCTTTTCACCCAACTAGCTTTTTATTTTGGTTATGATGGTATACTTTTTGTCAAGGACCTTGAATTTTCTTGCTCTTAGCTGTAGATAGGAAGATGCCTAAAGCTAGATTGCTATCGTATATGAAAAAACCTGAGATCTGTAGTTAAAATTATAGATTTCACATGTTCTCATTTAATGACCAGGGACAATGATCGTTTTCATTTGTGCACTATTGTGGTCAGATTAATACTTATTGCAAGTATTGATCTTGATCCAGCACAGGGAATTAGATTACAATAGCTAGTGTTATTGATGATAGTTAATAGAGATTCTGCTGTAACATACCTGGTTTGTTGATTGTTAAATAGGTGATTAATGAGTGTGGTGGAGTAGAAGCATGGCTAAGGGAGAAGCAGAAGCTGCAGGATGCTTTACCCAAATCTGCCACTCCGGTTCTTCTTTCTGCAGATCTGAAGAGAAAAGCTGAAACATTAGACAGGTAAAGTACATCAGTTTGTTTCACCGTGGATTATTATTATTATTATTTTCATGCCAAGGCTATGAATTGTGATGCTAGGCAATTAAAGTTTATTTGTAGACAGTTTAAATGAGATCAGCCTTGGGTTTAAGGATAGGTTTTACGCATGCATGATGTTCTATCATCCTTTTGCTAGTTCTCTTCAATTGTATATAGGATTGTCACTAATCGATAAAAATGTTAATAGCAGTCCTATATCTTGGTGTATGAAGAGATGCTCAATCAATTTTAGATTCCTATTTCTGTTGGCTATATCTAAAATATATATTTTAATCTGAGCAACTTACACAGCTTACCTAGACTGTGATATATCTCTCTGAAATTAATGACCATAGATATATCCGTACAGGTTTTGCAAGCCAATAATGACAAAGCCAAAGCCACCTCCAGCCAAGCCACAACCCCCTCTAACTGAGATGCCAGCAGCTCAACCCCAAACCGGTGAGCAGCAGCATATGGGAGATCGCACTGCTGAAGGTAGCAGTCAGGTGCCGCCAACAACAGCTCCTGAGCCAATGGACACTGACAAATCAGAGGCTGAATCTGCCGCATAAAGAGTATTTAGAAGCAGTTCCAGACTACTAATTGTTTGGGTTGGAGCCATATGAGATGATGTGTGTGGTGGTCATCTACACATTATTGTAGCAAAATTTAGTCATGCGAAAATGAGTGGAAAGAGATCCACAGATTCTGAGTGGGTCCTTTGGGTCTTATGCTGGTGGATTGGTTTCTCCAGTTGCAATATGCCAATTTTGTCAATTGACTACACGGTTAAGTTATTGCTTCTATTGTGCTTATTACCCTGCCGATATATGAGTAGACACAGGCCGGCCTTACTATTGATTTGAAGGGGAGGTACCTCGGCGAGTCTCTTATCCTTCATAGGTAGGAACTCATCCAATGACCTGTGTGAACTTTGGCCGGCTATTGTGTTTTTACATATAGAGACTGATCATGACCTCAGATTAAAATAAGAAGCTGTTTCTTCACATAGCCCTAAAAGACCATTTTTTATCTTAGAAAAGTACGAAAATAAGATGAAGTGATATGTTCATCAAATCGTCAAACCTTTCTTTGAAGTCTTAAAAGGTCAAAATATACGAGGAAACCACATGCAACATCTCCGTGGCCATATAATAAGTCCAAAACCACAAATACGATTATGTTATTCTATAAACAATTTGGTCGAGAAAAGGAGTACCACAGAACTGATCAGCAAAGTTCCGGAGTATTTTTTTGGGGGGGAAACTATTAACTACTCAATTACGGAATTGAAACATACAAAAGTGTCAAGTTGAGCAGGCTCTTCAGCCCATTCGATGACATGCTCAAGGTGGAGGCCTCTAGAGGCAAAAACTAACATAGAGAGTTGGCATACTACTCTATCAGCGAAGTCTATATTTTCCGAGTTAAATAGACAATACATATTCTTGTAATCAAATACAACAACAGAGGTCAGATAATCTAAAGATCATACAAAAAAATCGACCAGTGGTGGTAAAAGTCAACTAGATACCACGATTTATGTTATAGCGGATCGTATTCATCTTGAAAGTCATAGTATAACTACATTCAAAACACAGTTATTTTTGACATGAACGAGGTACTCGTGGGCAAATTCAATTATGTAATGACACGTAAAACTTAAGACACATTTCGCAATGTTCATGTTATGATATGAATAGCTCTGATAACTACTATGGCAACAGGAAGAGGGGTTCTGCGTAACCAGTATAGCACAACCACCATGTTGCACGTGCGTGACAAAGCAAAGCTCTTAAACGACCTCAGGGCCATTGAATATCTGCAGCACAGCAATAGCTGTTTTCTGCAGATGTTCTTTCGCTTCCTCCAGTGCTTTACTCCTGACTTCCACCGACTCCTTGCATTTCTCTATCTCTTCCTTTATCTCTGCAGAACTTTGCTCGATCTCACTGTTTGAGTTAAATGTTTTTACTAACATGTCTAAGAGAACACAGAACACTACACCCCTGCTATAATATTACTGAAGGTACTATATTTATTATCCACCGCCGCACATCAAATGTTTTCACTAACATGTCAGAAAGCCACAGAGAACAATGCATCCCTGTTATGGTATTATTGAAGGGACCACACGTAATTCTCAACTCCAGCATACGAAGGTCTTACACTAAGATTAGGCATATCAAGTACTCTTACTGGATTAGCTTAATTTGAAAATCACGATAAATTACAAGTGATTTGAGATTTGGCATGAGAAGTACGGGGTACCTTGAACAGGTTCTTCTTTAAGATCAGTTGACATAGCCTTGACGCTCTACTAAGTGAATAACTTGGCAATGAAACTCATATTTTCCAGTAAACTGTTCATTTGTCTAATTGTAATATTGTAGGGTGCAAACATCTTCTAATTTTCTATAGTGAAAAAGTAGATATAGCTGATAAAAAGTCTCACCTAGTCATTTTAAGCATGCTCTGCATAGCTTCTTGCACTTGCTGCCACGTATCTGCATTCACCAAGATGCGACAATTTTAAAGTCATGTAACGAGATTATAAAGGTAACAACACTCATGTCAACAGGGCTAATTACATATTATTAACCTCTAGTTAGATTCCTTAGTATTTTGATTCATAGATTTAAAAAATTTATATTAGAATCCATGTAATTATGAAGATGAAATATTTAGTTTCATTTATCTTAACGTTATCAGTTTTATTGATAAAAGTATGAAAACGATAAACAAAAAAATAATTTCAACATCCTAGTTATGTTATCAGGGGTGACAGACGACGACACCACTAAAGGTCACGAGTGACTATCGTGGATGAAGAAGGAGAGCGATAGCAAGATGCGAGGCAAAGAGAGAGGAGGAAGAGGATGACGCAGATGCAGAGCATCTGCATCGACACCGATGCAATTGCTGATGATGCTGACGTAAATGCAGAGCAACGAAAAGGTCGCTTGACATCTGCATCTGTGTTGACGTCGACACAACTACTGAGTGATGCTGACACATATGCAGAAGTGGTGAAAGGATCACTCGATATCTACATCGACACTGACTCAAATGCAGAGTAGTACCGCTCTACATCTGCATCTGTGTCGATGCTGACGTAATTGTATAGCGATACTGGTGCAGATGTATAGGATCGACATCTGCGTCCTACTCCTCTCCCTTTACCTCAACTTTCACTGTCGCTCTTCCTTCTCATCCATAATAAATCTTTTAAGTTTAGAGATTAAAATATTAAAATTATTTAGATACAAGAGATAACATGTAATTAGCTCGATAAAGAATAAGAGATCATAAAGGAAAGCTGATGCTTCACAAGGTTCAAAAGATGAATACGCGTGTTTTACATTCAAACAGAAAAGGATAGGTAGAGCCTATCAGAGCATATTTCGTTAAAGGTAATGAAAGCATATAAAAGAGAATCATGTTCTGGTCAATAGAAGTTTCGAGCCTTTTGACACCTAACCACCCTCTTCACCAATCTCTCAGATATAACTCCTCTCTGTTTGCAGAACAAACGACCCCAGGATTGGAGCCCGGCCATTTAGTTTTGTGGATTATTGGCTGAAAAGCCCTCATCTTTCGATACATCAGAGTTAAAACGCCGGAGGACAAAGAAATCAATGGTTAGATACATAGATTAATGACGCTACAGGCAACATCAAAAGAGAACAGAGCCTTGACAACAACGAATCAACGTTGTATCCTCGACTCAAATAAGAACCATATGACCTACTGCTCGCTGAGCATACTCATCAGAAAGAGGTTCAAAGCACGCCGGACCAAAGAAGGCGACCAGAATACCATGCACTTCAACAAAATGGCCAGTGGAAAATGGAACACAAACTGGATTATTAAGGCACGCACTCCAACATGTCGCTCACCGGCCACTCCAACGTAAGTGACGAACTAAATTAACTTTCTTCCAAAACATCTTTGTTGTTAGCACTTCTTGCCACATAATCCTCTTTATCCGAAACGTTATTATCGGTTCATCCTCATTTCTCTAAGAAATATAGCATTCAAATAAGAATTTCTTCGCATAATAATCGGATTAAGATCTCATGATGGATCTGTTTTCTCTCTTGCAAATGTTTTCCAAAAATTACATCTAGAATACCTAGAAATTCCAGATAAATTTCCAACCAGCAGAATCGAGTAACATGGATAATTAAGCAGTAAAAGATCTAAGCAAGGGCTTCGATATAATATTCATCAGAATCTATTTTTGGAAAACCTCTCTCGAATCTGAACTAGAAGAACGCGTAAAATTTAGAGGTAATTATATATCACTCAAGAAATTGAGGAAGGCCTCATTGAGGAGCAGATTAGTATCGGGTGTGCATATGGCATCCAAATATCCATCAAATTTACAACACAAATTGAACGAGGTGAAACATTTCTTCACATCCTGAATCGAAAACTAGTGATCTAGGAGATGTATGAAATCGCAGAGCGATTCCTACCCCGATTCTCCAGCGATCTACTGATCTAAGCAAGACGACGACACAAACATGTAGGGTTTAGGGGAAGAGGATATTCTACCGAAGAGGATCGCCGAGATCTGGGATTCGGCTTCAGGGTTGGCGAGGGCTTCCCGCGGAGAAGAAGAGGAGGAAGGGCTCGCAGCGATCGCCTTCGCGTGCTCCATGTCGTGGCTAAACAGAAAGGTGAAGGGGGGAGACGAGCGAAGAGCGGCTATTTATAGTCGTTCGCTTTAGGAAGGAAATTATATTTGAAATTATTCGGAGTTGCAGTTGATCCCACGGTGTGGGTTGAAACAACCACTTGTAGCTTAATCCTGACCGTTCAAATCAAAGAGATGTTCATTCGTGGACGATCGTGTCGCGACAGCCGGACAACTTAAGAACCGAAGAATGCTTCTGGTCCTTAGGAAATAATAAATTAGCATGAAGATATTTTTTTCTCCAAATAATTTGATTTGTAAAGTAATAAATAATCTTAATATAGTTAGTATCGAGTCGGCACTAAGACGTGGGATGAATTAGTGTAGTGGATAAGAACGTTAGTTTGAAATTTTTTCTTACAATAAAAATCGATCTCGGAAGATAATTTGGAATTAAATGCTTATTCGTAAGCACAGTAAAAACAAAATAAGGAGGAAGTGAAGCAATGATAATAATATAAATACATACTGATTTATAGTAGTTCGGTCATTGTGACTTACATCCACTCTCAATTCCTCTTCACAGATCATCTATTTTCACTACCGATCTTCTTTCAATGAGCGAAGATCAATTATCATTTTACACTCGATTCTCCTTTTGACAGGTTCAGCAGAGAATCTTTACACCCCTTTTTACTCATCTCTTAAACAACACTAATACATAGAGCTTTTAGATGAGTTCTCACAAGATTACAATAGTGTTTTTTTATTTTTTTGCTCTCAATTTATGTGTATGTTAACCAAGGATGAGAAGGGTATTTATAGGCCTCAAGTGGATTCAAACTTCGAGCTTAAAAGTGTCTCATCTTTGATTTTTGGGATACTGACGGTACCACTACCTACAACACTGACACTGGACGGTATCACTGCCCAATTTGATGGTGCCACCTCATGACAGTCTCTCGAAGACTATGTCTGGGTGGTACCACCACCCAAATTGGTAGTACCACAATCTGACACAATCTCAGAGACTATATCAATACGATTCCATTTGTTGGGTCACCGTTTGGATCTTTTACTTAGCCTAATACAACTTAAACTTAGGCTCAATTGGTCCTTAATTAAGTTAACCTAATTATATTCTAAACCGACTCAATTAGACTCTTAACTATCTCGATCTAAACATAATCAATTACAAGCGAATCCTATGTTATCCGACATATTATTGGTTCTTTCGATGTTTTGTTTTCAATGCATCGTCCTCTACTTCGGCGTATTGTCCAACCAGCATGTTATCTTCTCACAACATTCAATCTCCTTGTCGTAATGTCTGATCTTCTTAGCCCGATGCTCGAATTTACGGACCGAAGCCTTCTGTCGACACGTCGACCGATCCTTCAACCCGACATCTAATCTTCTGATATGTTTGCTTCGATCCAACATTGATTCCTCCTACTTTAATCGATTTATCTTTTCTGATCGAAGCTAATCCTGTGTCACTTAAATGCATATTAGATACAAACACATCAATTGATTTTATCAATAAAATCTAAAATTTAATAAATATTGTAACAAAATTTGCTTTATAAAAACTCATATCTTATGAATAGTTTTTGTGTGAACACTAGTGCCATTATGTTGACCAAATACCATCTCGATCTTGTGAATCTCGGAGAATTAGTTGAAAAAAAAACTATTTGTTACTGGTTTAAGGTTCCGAGATATTATTACATAAATGAAGGATCTTAAATTTAATTAAATATTATTAATATCTATAAGTACTTTAAAAGTCATCCTTAGATTTAGTATACGTTAGAATTAGGATTAAAACTAGTGCGAGAGATTGCACAAAGGATTTAAAGTTGGGTGGCTTAGGTTTCGATTAACTTAAGATAAATAATTTTTAAATTTGTTTTTTCTTATACAAGTGAGAAATTTGATTTTCTTAAAGGAATAGGCATAATCACCTTAATTTTTTGTTTTCTTTTTTAGTTTGAAACCAAAAGAAAGTATCAAAGAATAATATATTAAAATAAATAAAAAATCAATATAAAATTAATGTGACTTGACACTACTTATGTATCTAAGGCAAAAAAAATCAATTTTTTAATATATAAGAAAAAAATAACTAATATAATAAAATTAAATCTAACTGAATGTAGAAGTCTTCTATCCCAACAAATATAAAAAGAATACTATATTCACTTTAATGTGATAGAAAAAATAGTTACAAAATAAAAATAAAACTTGAACAAAAAAAAAAAAAAATCTTCCAACAAGTTAAATGTGACAATTTTATTAAAGTCAAGGGAGTTTTCTCTTTTCTTTTCATTTAGGACTTCCATTGACTTCAAACCAATCAGGCAAAGTTAAAATGCTGTTACCTTCTGTTCCTCGTCTTTGTCAAATTTCCTTTGTTAGTAGTTTCGCCTCAAATGATTCCAATGAATTGATCGGTACCAAAGCTAAAAATTGCACCAAGCTAAACAAAGGGCAATCCCGTCAATTCAGATGTCATTTCCTTCTTCCAAACCTTGATGTTGATGGTGGCACTCGATCTCATGACACCTTAACTATCATCTCTCCGTACCCCGTCTCTGGCTTCGCCCTGGGAAGGATCGCCGGATCGCAGCTCGTCTTCCTCCCCCCTCCTCCCCGATCTCGGCCTGCCCAAGCCCTAGATTTCTAGGGTTTGTTCTAATCGAAGCGCGAATTTCTCACGCCTTCCTTGCTTTCTTTTCGTCTTAGTTGGGGAAGATGGTACGTCCGCTGTTCTTCTGTGCTCTCAATCGTGTTTTTTTGTCGTAGTAACATTAGATCTGTGGTGGATCGCCTTTGATTCCACTGGAGTGGTTCACGATTTGTTATTTGTTGCTTGGATCCCGTGCATCTTGTCGTTAAGAGTCTGAATTGTCTTGAGATCTGGGTTTCTAGTGGTGGCTGATGGTCGTTTATTTTTCTTTCTTCGTTGTTTTGGTGCCTGCGACTGCGATTGCAGCCTCTCAGACTAGATATCAAGGTATGTGCTACTGGTACTTGTGAAAACTTTAGTAGATATTACTTGGATCTTATGTTTGGGTTCAACCCTAGTGTCGAATTCATGTGGCATTTGATGGTTTTGTCTTAATTTATTCTTACGAGTGTCTGTACATCAGAGGAAACTTGCTCAAAGGTCAGAAAGGGTAAAATCGGTAGATCTGCATCCAACAGAACCATGGTAAGAGTGAAAGCCTTTTTGTACACACCCATCCGTAATAATTATGGACAAGGACAATGCAGGTTTTCTGCATGACGAATAATCCTGCATGGATTTTCTTGCTGCAGGATTCTTGCAAGTCTATATTCTGGAAGTGTCTGTATATGGAACTATCAAACACAGGCAAGTTTCTAATATGTTGGATTTGCATTGGTGTTTCTTTTTTGCAAAGTAATTTCAGTTAATTGCTTCCATCGAACATTCTTTCATTACTCCTTGGTGGGAATTTTACTTGCTTCACTATGTGAGCAGCTACCTTAATGGAAAATTTACATATGCAGAGTGTTACCAACATGCTTGTGGACTGTGATTATGTTATTTGCCTCCACCTTTCAAGATAATTTTTTTTCTAGATCCTTCGATGTGTATTATTTTTTGAATGATCTGGAAGTAGTTAGGGCATAACAAAATTTAAAGTACTCAACTGATCCTTTTAAGGCTGAATAGAGTAACGATGTCTTTGACAGTAAGAGCACAAACTAGCTCACACTAAAAAGATTCTTGCATAATCCAAAATGAGGTGTGCATATTCTATATGTTTAATTTTTAGATGTCATTTGGTGTTTGGTTTGACCTGATGAATTTTAATCTAGAAATCGTTGATTGCAGACTATGGTAAAATCTTTTGAGGTCACTGAGTTACCAGGTACACTGCTCTCAATTTGAGCATTTTCTCATTTCTGAAAGTAGGCCTAAATCCTGAAAATTTATGTGTTGAAATTTCAGTCCGATCAGCAAAATTTATAGCGCGGAAGCAGTGGGTTGTGGCTGGTGCAGATGATATGTTTATTCGTGTCTACAATTACAATACTATGGACAAAATTAAAGTATTTGAGGCACATACAGATTACATACGGTGTGTGGCTATACACCCAACACTTCCATATGTTTTGTCATCATCAGATGACATGCTGATAAAACTTTGGGACTGGGAGAAGGGTTGGATGTGTACCCAAATTTTTGAAGGACACTCTCACTATGTGATGCAAGTTGTCTTTAATCCAAAAGACACAAATACTTTTGCAAGTGCCTCCCTGGACCGCACAATAAAGGTGTTGCTTTAAAATCTTTGACATTGTAATATGAACTTTACTATGGTTCATCGAGTACCTCTGACTGTTTAATCTATTTTTTCCAGATATGGAATCTTGGTTCTCCAGATCCAAATTTTACTTTAGATGCTCATTCAAAAGGAGTAAATTGTGTTGATTATTTTACTGGTGGTGATAGGCCATATTTAATTACTGGTTCTGACGATCAAACTGCAAAGGTGTGGCTCATGCTCTGTTGTGGTTCTTGCCTCATGTTCTACTCCAAAGTTTTCTGCTAGTGAACTCTGTTGAATCAGGTCTGGGACTATCAAACCAAGAGTTGTGTTCAAACACTTGAAGGTCATACACACAATGTTTCAGCTGTCTGTTTTCATCCTGAGCTTCCAATAATACTAACAGGTTCAGAGGATGGAACTGTTAGAGTTTGGCATGCAACTACATATAGGTAATTTTATTCTTGAGATAAGTTTAAGCTGTATTAACTGTATGTGCATCTTAAGTTGTCTATTTGAAACAGTTTAATTCTTTTGATTCAAGCATCGTATACCCCATTATTGTTTGTGAGATTCAAGAATTGGTGTGACTAAAATGGCGGTCCAATGCATGAAGCTCCTGCTAGGGAGAGGGGGTCTATGAGGGTCAATGTACAGTCTTATCATGCAAGTGGATAATTGATTCCGTGACTTGTACTATTGGCAGCAAAGTCACAAAGGAGCAAGGGCAACCATAACTTGGTTCTGTTGCTTGCCCTCTGTTAAATGGTTGATATAACCTGTGTTTAAAAAATGTCAGTCTGTCTCTAGGACATCTATGTTAAACAAAAATTAAAGCTTTCTGTTAATTTTTAGCAGCAATGAATAAAGTTTATTAGTTAATGGTGCATAACTGACTGAATTGGTGCCTCTTTGAAGATCATCAAGATGAATTTGAAACATTTTTGTGCTTGTATTTACTATATCGCCTCTTTGAATTGGTGCCTCTTTGAAGATCATCAAGATGGTGAAAAAGATATATACTATCTTGTTAAAGCTAGGGAAATAAAGTGTAAGGATTTAGGTAATATTAGATGCATTAAAGACGAAAATCAAAGAATACTTGTTAATGATAACGAGATTAAGGAAAGGTGAATAAATTATTTTTTTATAAATTATTTAATGAATATTTCATATAGGACTTAGATTTAATAATAAATAATAGTAGTAAATTTAATAATCATAGATTTATTCGTAAAATTAGAACTAATGAAGTAAAAGACATTAAAAAGATAAAAATAGCTAAGAGTGTAGGACCTGATGGTAACTCTATTGAGGTATGAAAAAGTTAAAGGGACAAGGGAGTAGTTTAATTAACTAGCTTATTTAATAAAATCATGATATTCGAAAAGATACCTGATGAAGGGAGAAAGAGTTTTTTAGTGTTAATTTACAAAAATAAAAGTGACATACAAAATTGTTTAAATTATAGAGGAATTAAAATCATGAGCCATACTATGAAATTTTAGGAAAAAATAATTAAAAGTAGGATAAGGCTTGAAACAAATATCTCTGAAAATCAATTTGGCCTTATGCCTGAAAAATTAATCATAGAAGTTTTTTTTATTAAGATAATTAATGGAAAAGTATAGGGAGAAAAAGAAAGATTTGCATACAATTTTTATTAACTTAGAGAAAGCCTATGATAGTGTTTCTAGAGATTTATTATGGTGGGTTTTAGAAAAAAAAAGGGTGTATCCACTAATTATACTGATGTTATTAAATATATGTATGATATTGTAGCTATTAGTGTTAGAACTATAGTGTGTCTAATGAGTTTTCTATTAGCATAGGATTACACCAAGGATCCGTATTAAGTTCCTATTTTTTCACATTGATAATGGATGAACTTATTAGTCGCGTACATTATAGACCTTCCTAGTGTATGTTATTTACTGATGATATTGTCTTAGTTGATGAGAGTCTAAGTGAAATTAATTATAAACTTGAGACATGGAGGCAAGCCTTAGAAACAAAAGGTTGTAGATTAAATAGAACTAAAACTGAATATATAAAATGTAATTTTAGTAAGTCTAGAAATAGATAAGAGAATATAGTTAAATTGGATGGATAAGAAGTTTCTTTAAGTAAAAGCCTTAGATATCTTGGATCAATTATTTAACAAGATGGAGAGATCGATGAATATATTATTCATAGAGTAAAAACATGATGGTTTAAATGATTAAGGGCGTCAGGAGTCTTATGTGATCATCGAATATCTTTGAGAGAATTTTATAAGACAATTATGAGACCAACAATACTTTATGGATAATAATGCTAGACAGTTAAGAAAAAAACATGTATAAAAAGTTTGTGCTGCCGAGATCAAAATGTTGAGATGGATGTTTAGAGTTATTAAGAAAGATAGAAAAAGAAATACTTTTATTCAAGAACAACTAGGTATTGCTTCGATAGAGGATAAGATGAGAGAAAATTATTTAAAATGGTATGAGCATATGCTGATGAGACCTCCGGATATTGTAGTCAGAAGAGGTGAAATAATTAATATTAGTGGTACGAGAAAAGATAGAGGAAAACCTAAAAAAATAATAATAAAAACTATAAATAAAAATTTAAATACTCCAAGCTTAGCTAAACATATGATTTTTTACCAATCTCAATAACGGCAAAATATCCATCTAGCTGACCCCAAATAGTTGGGACTTACAACTTTGTTGTTGTTGTATATACCATATCGCCTAATTATTTGGAGTCTCTTGAGGATCGCATTAGCATTTATATGTAAAATTAGGTTAAGGTCAAGCAAGAGAAGTCTGGACATGATGTTATTTTTCTCATACCATATTTCATGTTTGTTTCTTCATGTTTTTTTTGTCTTATTGAACACTTCTTTTTTGTTGTTTCCTTACAGCTAACCTAGAATATGTTCATTAAGCTGTCCTTGTAAACTATATTTCCTATATCAAACAGTAGTACTTCTAATCAGGAATTTCGGTGATGTAAGTTGTTATTTCATCTTGAACTTTTGAAACATGTAACGATGCCATTTATACATGCCCTTCTGGGGTGGACTCTTGATTTGCTACTTTGAATTTAATTATTTGTTATTAGCTTTTTTGCATTATGATATGTATTTCTGTGATACTGAGAATGCTTGGATTTTGTTTATGATTGGTCATCAAAATGGATTGATTTTGTATTTAAGATGGTGCAGATAGGTTTGGATCTGGGGAAGTGGAGGTATTGGGTGTTTACAATGATCGTTTGTTATTCAAACCATAAAACAACTTCTATGAGTCTCCAAGGGCAAGACTTGTGATAATGAAAATCTAATCGGATATGTTATGTTGCGGTAGTTGGAATATTGAGAAGTTAGAACCACATTATCATTTTCCAATTAAGACAACCAATATTTTATGATGTTTCTTTTAGCAATTCAAGCCTAGATACTTGTACTTTTGTGGCGGATTTGGGCATTATTTGTCTTTTTGGTACTTTGCATTTTGCAATGCACTCTATTAGCTTTTTAATGTGGCTGTTCAACATATATTCTTTTGCCCAATCTTTTAAAAGGTATGCAGGTGCTTCAGGTATCAAAGAAGGCATATGTGGGTGCTTGTGCAAAACGATTAAGTACATCTAGAAAACAGTTAAAAAATAATAAGTAGAACATATTGCGCCATTTTCAACTGACATACCTATGGGATGATTTTTATAAATTTTTAAAGTTACTTGAGTGATGAGTTATAAGAAACATATAATATGCAGCTATAGAAGTGGTCTTTTAGACTGTTAGACTGTCTTTTTAACATCTAGACCATGGTTCTTTATTGCATGCAACACATTGATAATTCATCCGAAGGTATAGACCCCTGAGAAGGGTTTGTAATATTTTCAGTCTCATTTGTAATTGATCAATTGGTTCTGATTAAGGGCAAGTGATATGGGTGGGCTGGAATTTGTTGCCTAACGACTGTTAGATGGCATAAGCAGTAAAGACTTTTCATATAATGTACAAATTTAAGTGGCCTATTACAAGTAACTTGGGTGTATGGCTCATACTAGTTGCTAGTAGGTTCATTAAATTAAGGCACAAATTATTGTGAGGCAATGATGTAACTATGGAAATGGTTCATTGGTCATTATTTTCTTACTTGCACAAGTCTCTTGCTGCCATTTTTTGATTGGTTATGTTGAAAAGAAGACAAACTGCTTAATTGGCAACAGGATCCAACTATTGTGCATTCAATATTTGTGTTATTTGCTTTGTGTTGTCTTTTAATGTATACCTGGATACAGTGGTGCTCAGTTGCCAAATCCGATCTAGATGTTTTAATTTGTATAATATACATTCGCAAAGATGCAGTTTATTGTTAATCCATATTCATTCTAACGTGTTCTGTGGCAAGCTTGGATTTTGTTCTTTTATTTAATCAGGGTCTTTGTTTCTATACTTTCACAGACTTGAAAATACACTAAATTATGGTCTGGAACGAGTTTGGGCTGTAGGATATATTAAGGGATCAAGAAGGTATGGACAAGCCCTTTTTGACTCCTTTTCTGTTTCCTGTGCATCATGTTAGAGATGTTTTTGGTACAACATCATTTGTCAATTGACAATATGGACATTTATTATTTTATTTTATAAAACCCATTAAATCTAAGTTCTAAAAAGCGATAATTGGTTTATTAAAAAAATCTCAAAAGTTGCTTTGGAAAATGTTGTGGTCAGCTCTTGATGACTATTGTGCATGGATGGCTCTTTGTCAGGGTTGTAATAGGATATGATGAAGGAACCATTATGGTGAAGATTGGCCGTGAAGTACCAGTTGCTAGCATGGACAGTAGTGGAAAAATCATTTGGGCAAAGCACAATGAGATTCAAACAGTTAACATCAAGACAGTCGGAGCTGATTTCGAGGTTAGGTAGCTCTAGCCCACTATGAAGAAGCATGCAATAAACTTCTGAATATCATGAAGGTTATGGAATTTTTTTTGTCCTCAGGTTACAGATGGTGAAAGATTACCTTTAGCTGTGAAGGAGTTAGGAAGCTGTGATCTCTATCCACAAGTATGTTTAGCTAAAAGCAATATTAATATGATTATTTCTTTAATTTTACTTTACCAATTAGCGGTTTCAGATGATGAAGCACTGCAAAATTACAATTATTCCAAAGAAATATAGAAGATCAAAATTTTTTGAAGTCTTTTGTGGCAAAGCTATTTACACAAGTAACGCTATCATATACCTTTAAAAGAACCTGTTATATTTGGTTGCTGATATTTACTTTCTGGTTTTATAGCTGTAAACAAGTTGTTTATGATTTCAAAAAATTATGTTTTTGTGTTGTCATTTAAACCTCAAGGCTTGACAATTTATTTTGTAAGAGGACTTACTTCTCTCGATGTATTTCAGACAAAGGATTATGTCTAATTCCAATTTTAATGGATGTCTCTGAAGAGACGTCAAAGGATTGTGTCGCAAACTGTTCTATGCTTGTCTGTCTTTGGGTGCACACCATATCATGTTGCACCATTGCATGACTCTGGTTCAGAGCCAATGTCGCTGATGCATAGGCACATGCTATATGCTAATCATTTAGTGCTTCTTTGCTTCCTCAACACTTTTTCATTTTTTTCTTGTGTTCTAAATTATCTCTCTCACATTGGCTTTGAGATTGTTTTGTGCCTTTTAGATTGATTATAAAACAGAGTAAAGATAGAATCTTAGGAATTTAGGGAATAATATATGCAAGAAGTCAGTGCCTCTGATATAAATGTGTTGAGATAGATGTGTCAAACTACTGGGATAAGTAAATAAGAAAATGTTTAGAATCAACATGCAGAAAATGCTAGCATAACTGATATGAGAATGTTGAAGTCAATAAAATGTTTTTGCTTCAACAACATTGATATAAGATAAAATTAAAGACCTATAGGTTTTTGTGATTAGACAATGTAGTTGATTAGGATTTATGATGTAAGGAGAAATGGAGAGAGACCTAAGTAGACTTTCTTAGAAACAATATGAAGAGTTTCTTTGCTTCTGATTTAATTGAACAGTTCAGTGGTGGGAAAAGATTTATGTAGTTGACTCTAAATAGATGGGATATTATGACTTGTTGTGGATGTTGTTATGTTCATTCTTGATAAAAAGGGATGGTTTCAGTTAAGGATAAATTTAGGGAAAATCATTTAATGTCGTCTGGATATGCACAAAGGATTGATCCAATTAGAAGATTTAAGTTGGACCACTGGTCAAGGAGTGGTAGATGAAGGGCCTAAGAAAATTTATTAAAAACCATAAAAAAATTGATGGTTGTCATCTGGCTAGTGACATTCTCTTCCATAGATGTCAGTTATATGAGATCAGATATCTAACATGTAGAGGAAGTTTACTTTAGTTTTTCAGTTGTAGCACTTGTTCGTAAAGGTAAATTGGTGTAGCTGTGTGCTTGTGTGCACACTTGTATTTTTGGACCGTGTAGGATAGGTGCTGCTAGTTGGTTGGTCTATGGGTATGTTATGAGATGGAACCATGATTCAATATCTCCATGCTGGACAACATATATCAGTCTGCATTGTCAAGGGATGAGGAGGAGGAGAAGTAGATGAGGAGGATAAAGAGGAAGAGACAGGGGAGGAAGAGAAATACGACAGCAAGGCAAGGGGGGCACCAAACGTTAGCTGGCAGCAGCAGCAAGCAACAGCTAGAGAGAGAGAGAGAGCTGTCACTATCAAAATTTAAGAAAAATAATTTCGAACCAGTATCGATTCTGAGTCAGACTGGTCCAACCAGAACTATTACCTTGGATGGAATCCCCACTGGGCATTATTCGTCTCGTAGGCCTCTAAGCTGTCTGATCATGCACTTACAATTTATGCTGATACATGCTATACATTGCTTTATCTACTGGCACCTAAATCCTTGCTTTAGGTAACTAACACAGGAAATGTAAAACTTCTGCATTGACTGTCCCCAATGGCTTCCATGGCAAATGTAATAACTTTCAATATGCTTCCTGTGGCTTCCCTACGATTTTGACTAATTAATATGTATTTCACCAAGGAGGTAAAACTTTTGAGTTGTGGCTCAGCAATTATAAAATTTCTCTCGCCACTGATTAATATTGATAATGTGTTGGGGGCAAACTAATAATAATATTTTAGTCAAATGCTTAGATTTGGTGAAGAGATGCTTTCGATCAGAAAATCTGCTTTTGGAATTGCTTAAAGAAGTTGATGTAGCATGTTTATCCTTTTAGTTATTAGTGTTGGATTTTCTGCTTTCCATTAGTATGCATTATACATAGTTCTCATTCCTTTCTTTGCCCAGAGTTTGAAGCACAATCCAAATGGAAGATTTGTCGTTGTTTGTGGAGATGGAGAATACATTATATATACTGCCTTAGCATGGAGGAATAGATCATTTGGATCTGCTCTGGAGTTTGTCTGGTCAACTGATGGAGAGTATGCAATCAGGGAAAGTACATCAAAAATTAAGATCTTCAGTAAAACCTTTCAGGTTTGCCTTTTATCTTCACTTATCTATTTGCGTTCTGGAAGTCTGTGTTATGGATGTATTTACTTGCTTGGATTTGTCTCTCCATGAAAAATCAAGAATATACTGATATAAAGTAATAATGTGATATGAACCAAGATGCTTCATTAACCTACTATATGATTTCCTATATGCTGAAATAGGTGGAAAATCATCTTTTTCATGATGTTGATTCATAGTCTTTTTCTACAGAAATGGATTTGCATGTGTTCAATAATTATTCTTATCTCATGATGGAGCATGCTATATAGGTTACAACCACTAGAAAACTTTAGTGAACTATGAACATTTATTCCTGACTTTTGGATGTTCTGGGATCTTTCAGGAGAGAAAAAGTATTAGGCCAACATTTTCCACAGAGCATATTTTTGGTGGAACACTGTTAGCTATGTGCTCCAGTGACTTCATTTGTTTTTATGATTGGGCCGAGTGCAGATTAATACGCCGGATTGATGTCAGTGTTAAAGTAAGTTCATGATTGCCCTTGTAGTATTTTTCTAGGACATGATAGCTCCCTGTAAAAATTTTTTCTTTTGTGTTGCAGAATCTCTATTGGGCTGATAGTGGTGACCTACTGGTCATTGCTAGTGATACTTCCTTCTATATTCTTAAGTACAATGTAAGTTGTTCTATTTATATTTATCCTTCTGCAAATATGTTGTATACAAATAGTGCTTAGTGATTTACTCTTCCTGCAAACTTGCTTTCAATTTTTTTGCATTTTCATGTTCATTTGTGTTGCTTTTCTTGCAGAGAGATGTTGTTTCCTCTTACCTAGAAAATGGAAAACCAGTAGATGACCAAGGTGTTGAAGATGCATTTGAGCTTCTTCATGAAGTAAATGAGCGGGTTAGAACTGGGATATGGGTTGGTGACTGTTTCATTTATAATAATTCTTCTTCACGGCTAAATTATTGTGTTGGTGGAGAGGTAAACTTATTCAGAATCCCTGATTTTATTCAGTTGCATATGGTAGTATTCTTTGTGTTATGCAATTATTGGTTTGTTGAGTTCAGGTGACCACCATGTTCCACTTGGATCGGCCTATGTACTTGCTAGGATATCTTGCTAGTCAAAGTCGGGTGTATCTTATTGACAAGGAGTTCAAGTTAGTTGGCATAACAGTTGCTCTGTGAATCTTCCCTCATTTTTCATTGACGATTTTCATCTGGGTAATATTTATTTTTTTTCAGTGTCATGGGTTACACCTTACTCCTCAGCTTGATTGAGTACAAGACACTTGTGATGCGTGGGGACTTGGAACGTGCTAGTGAAGTTTTGCCATCAATTCCGAAGGAACATCATAATAGGTACATGTTTTTCTTCAAAAGAATTTGTTCAATATTTGCTAGACCATATATAGATAAGACACATAATTTTGTTTATGAAGTATAGTTGTTAGTTGAATTCAGTCCAAGTATACTCTGCATAACAAATGCCAAGACTACATGTGTACGGTTTGTGTGATCTAACACCTGCTTCCCATGATTTTGGGACTGGATGTATTTTTTTGCATGCAATTATGTTTACCTAGTCTTAAATGTAGAATACTTCTGTCTGTTTAAATATCCTGCTATTGTTTTTCGTTTGTCATTGACTGTTGGAAATTTAATTTGCTAGTGTGGCTCATTTCCTGGAATCTCGGGGCATGCTAGAGGATGCTCTTGAAGTAGCAACAGACCCTGATTACAGATTTGACCTAGCAGTTCAGCTTGGTAGATTGGAAATTGCAAAGGTACACTTCATGATCATGTAACTGAATGATGGTTGTAACACTCTCTCTTTTTTGTTTTAGCTCTATCTTTGAGTGATATATCTCCTTCTAGTCCTGTCTTTTCCTTTTCCATTTGAGGATAGAAGTTTCCTCTGTAGGCGATTGCTACGGAAGTACAAAGTGAATCAAAGTGGAAGCAACTAGGAGAGTTGGCTATGTCTACCGGGAAGGTATATTTGAAAACTTTATAATATTGGCTATTTCCGGCTATTATTAGGACAATTGTTGTATGCAGATAAGTTGATTCATTGTTTTGTTGTTTTATGCTCTCATAACTACTTATTCATTTGTAAATTATTCAGATACACTCACATTGAAATTTTAGGAACATTTATTAAGTATGATATTATATCAGTTGTCACACGCCTTGCTCAAGTCCTGAGATGCATAGAAGAAATTGTCATTTAAAGAAGGCTGTAGGTGCCGACCTTAGATTAAATTGCCTTTAGCACCATTAGTTTCAGCCAGGAATTGGCACAGCACACCATCAGCATGGCATGAAAAATTTCTTTGCCAACATAAGTTTGCTGACAAATCCAAAAAGAAAAAAAAAAGATCAACAAAAACTGGTGACAGTAAAAGAGATACTTCTTTTCTCTGGTTTCCCATCTTTTTTGGTTGTCCCTCCTCCCCAACATTGGCAACATAGTATGGGCACAAGTGGCAAGAAATATCAAGTTGAGGCATGGTAACAGCAAGTCGAGAGAACCCAAAAATAATAGGAAGTTATGGTTGATGTGTTAGTCTCTTCCAGTTAAAGGTCAAAATCTTAGTTTAGCCCATGAATGACTGACTCAGCTTAGTACTGAGACCCCTTGTTTCAGGTCTCAATACCAGACAAGTTTAGGATAATTTGGACAATATGTTGAAAAGTTGTTGAACTCTATCATCTTGTTGGTTGTAGCTAATTCAATACTGTTGATCTTCTACTGCTTTCTGTAGAGGACAATATTAAAGTTTTTATTGGTCTTGAACCTTCCTTGTTTTAGTCTCATATTCTGAAGGATATAGTCATTTGGAGCATATTAATTTTAGAGGAAAATTAACCCTAGAAATTAGCTTGTTGAACTGAAACATCCTGTTACATGGTTATCACTTATTTTGACATATTTCAATTCTTGTCACGCAGTTGGAGATGGCTGAGCAATGCCTGTCACAGGCTATGGATTTGAGTGGCTTATTGCTTCTTTACTCAGCTCTTGGTGATGCTGAAGGGATAAATAAACTTGCATCTCTTGCAAAAGACCAAGGAAAAAATAATGTTGCCTTTCTTTGTCTATTCATGCTAGGTAAATTGGAGGATTGCCTTCAGTTATTGGTGGAGAGGTACTTTTTTCTTTTGCGTGATATAGCCCATACCCTTCGATGATTATGTTATGTTGTATGGAATTTTATGAACTGCATTATTAATTTATTATACCTGGCAGTAACCGTATTCCAGAAGCTGCACTAATGGCAAGGTCTTATCTTCCAAGCAAAGTCTCAGATATTGTGTCAATTTGGAAAAAGGATCTCAACAAGGCACACTTCTTTTCTTTTCTTTGCTAATTGTTTTCTAAATTACATGTTTTGGTTCTAATATCACAACAAGAGTTGGAGATCTTTTATTCTGAATTGTCAAAATGGACTGGACCATTCACTTGACTGATCACTTTTTGTAAAGGTCAATCCAAAAGCTGCAGAGTCTTTGGCTGATCCTGAAGAGTATCCTAATCTTTTTGAAGACTGGCAGATTGCTCTGGCTGTTGAATCGAATGTTGCTGATAAAAGGTCCTTGTCATATCTTCTCTTATTTAGATTTTGCAAAGTGCTCTTTTGCAAAACTGAAGTACTCGATTATTGACTAATTTGCTAAAACAAGGACAATCGTTCTTCATATGGGTGTATTGAGCTAATATGAGTTTGCATATGATTAGATAGGGACAAAGTTATCTATGAACTATGATTTTCTAGATGATATTTAGATTTGGTAGGAGGCCAGTTATGTAACTTCTTTTCTCATCCGCAACGAGGCTGATAATTTAACTTCTAATGGCTTTTCTTTGTTTGAAGTATCCTTTGTCAGGATATGCACAATTAATTTTATTTGGTATTCATGCTGATTGTGTTGTTTCATTTCAAAGGAGTTTACTTGTTTACATGTTGTATTTAGAAATTCTATTATGCTAGAGTCTATTGGACATGAGTCTAACCCTTGTTTATGTTGTCATTGTCACTTACTTTGAAACTGTAATTAAGTGGACTGTGGATGTCATAATAAGATGCTTGGTCTTCACTGACTTGTGTAGGTTTATTTTCTTGTAGAGGTATTTGCACATACAGAAGCAAACAAATAGAAACACATGCTTACATTTTCTCATGAAGGTCATTAATTGGTCATATTTATGAGGAAGATATATATTATTTAAACCTTTAATTGCCAATTCATCATAAGGTAATTTGTGGGCTTCATCCCTTTGTAAACTATAAAAATAGTTCTCAAAGAGGGAATTACATCTGATGATGCTTGACAAAGGAAGGTTTTAGGAATTCCTGATTATCATGAATATGTGAGAAACTTCTGTATCTAGGTTTCAAATTATACTGTTTAATCAATTAGTTGTTCTTATGTATGCAGAAAATCAAATTCGTTTGATGAATGACTCTTTTTCATTATTTGATGGTATCCATGCAAGTTGATATATGTGTCAACACTAGGTGCTTAATTCATTATATTCATTGTCATTTAATTAGTTAGTTATTTATCATATATGCATCAAATCAAATTAGTTTGGTAAAATCATGTCTCCTTTTCACGATTTAATGGTATCTACGCAAATGAAATGTGGCAACAGCAGGTGCTGGTATCCATTATATTCACTGTCCTATCTGCATGAAAAGATGGCAATGAGTGCTTTGGTGGCAGCTGGAAGCTTAGATGGATGTGATTAAAAATAAAAAATTGATGATTCTATTATACTTTTGTTTTGAAATTGGAACTAGCAATGTGGATCTTGTGGGTTAATACTGCAGTACACTTTTCCAATTATGTTCACTTGGATTTCTGGAGATAGACATTTGAGCATTAATTATATGAACTGCACAATGTTGATGCTATGGTTCTGGTGTTTTTATTTGGTTAATTTTGAATGTTTCTGCAGTTGTGTTTCATTTGCTTAAGAATTAAAACTAATTAATAATAACAAAAGTTATTGTCAAAAGCAGGGGTACATATCCTCCTGCTGAGGAATATTTACACCATACTGAAAAGTCAAATATCAGTCTTGTGGAAGCTCTAAAAAGCATGCAAGTTGATGATGATGCCCTGCCACTGGAAAATGGTGATTCTGGCCACGAGGTATATAGTGCTTTCGATTTTAAAACTTTTTTGCAAGAGCAAATTGTTTCTCGTGGAAGTTAAAGTAGAGCATTGTGCATGAAAGGCTGACATAGGTTTTGATTGACCCAAGATTTTTATTTGGAGCAGCCAAACATTAAAAAAAGTATGATACATCATGTTCTTTGTATTAGCCTCAGGCAGATCATATCAAAACTGGTCAGAGTAATAGTGGGGGCTGCTGTTGGCCAAAAAAGTAAGCTTGTTAAGGTCAACAAAGTGAGTGGCAACTGCTAAGAGGATTATCAACTGAACACCTTACTGTTATGCAAGATTTTTTTAAGGAACATTAAAGAAAATTTAATTACTATTAGGGATCCAGACAAAACAGATACATTATCTTTTCTTGACTTGAACTTGTGTAAAACACTATTTACTAAAACCATCTTATTCCTATCAACACTATGTAGATAGCCAAACCCGATATCAATAAATTATTTCGTTGTTGCCAGTAACCAACTCATACGCTTCGGATGCTCAAAGTTTTGGAGCTAAAAACAGAACTCATGAGAAACTGAAAATTGTGTTCTTTTTTTCTGAGTCATGTACTTGAATTTCATCTGTCTTGTTCTTGGGTTGTTTGATTTGTGCTCTTTGCAAAGCCAACCCATGCTTTACATTATTCAGTGGTGAACAATTTGCAGGCAATGGAAGAGATTGGAGTAGACGATGGTCAAGAGGAAGCTGTTGAAGTTGATGTAGATTATTCGACCGATAGTGCTGTCCTTGTCAATGGAAATGAGGGTGAGGAACAGTGGGGTATGAACAATGAAGGAACTCCATCAGCCTAAACACATTGGTTGGGCAAGTGTAAATCCAAATTTTGTGTCTGGTGATTAATTGTTTTCCCATCAACTCCCACATTTGTCCCGAAATATTCCAAGTGCTTCTGGTATAAAAGAAAAGCAGGTGTTTCTGACCTGAAGCATTGGACTACATCCTCTACCAAATTAAATGACTAGAAGACCACATTGTAGGGACCACATTTCCATTTGATTCCTTCCATATTGTTAATGGTGGCTGCAAAAATTTATCTTGTAAAATGCTTTGTTGTTAGCTAGTCAAAGATTAGTTTCCCCTCTTTTCTTAGATACATGGTTGAAAACATGTTTGGGCTTGTTTTCTTATTTGCCTGCGGATGGCAATAGCTCCCACTAGTAACTCCATTCAGACTTCGTTACTGATTGTGTCAAAGGTTTTTATGAGTTTTGTATCGTGCTCTTCTATGGATTTGAAGTATGGGAACCGTTCTTATAAAATATGGGAATTATATTTTTTTTGTTTTTCTTATATTTCCATAGGCTGACTAATTCTGTTACTGACTCTCCCTCTCTCTTTCTTTGTGCTGATTTTGCAGTGCTAACTTCCCATGAATAGCAACTTTGACAGGAGGGGATTCAAATATTGAAGTCATCACTCGGGTAAGTTGAAATCACATCCTCAGAAGAGAAGCAATGAAGTTAATAGTTTCCTCAGATGCATTTCTCAATATACTGCAGAACAAAAATACATCAGATGCTAACTCATTACATATTAGCATGCTGCAAATAACCTCCATTGTTGCAACTTCACATGCAAACACTACACGTTTTTTTTTTTCTTTTACTAATATTGTGCATCTGCTAAGAATCATGGGGGGTTTAATTATGGTAACTAGTAAAACTTCATTTATGGTAGTGAATGTCTCAAGCTTCATTGAGCACAATATTGAACTTCCGACACAGTTGCTTTTTTTTCTTCTTTTATACTGCCAATGAATGAATCCCCTTGCTGCATAATCTGATCCAGAAAGAGAATTTAGCATTTTTCTTCAGTATGCTTTGTGATTGACCACAGCTTGTAATGTCTGTTTACAGTAATGATCAGGTTCTAGGAGGAAAATTTTGGTGGCTCTATTATCCTGCAGCCTTGAGTTTTCTTCCTTGTGATCTCTGACCTTCCAGAATCATCAATTGGTATATGCAGATTCATGAAATGGCGTAAAGCCACAAGTTGCTTGTGCACTTGATTCCTAAAGAACAGGTTCGATGAGCTGTCCTTGGTTTCTCCGGCCATCCTTTCTGCATAGCCTATCAGACTACTTTAATTCAGCTATTGTGTTCGATTATGTCATTTTTAAATGTTTGTTATTGTTTATTGAAAAAGAAAATTCTTGAAAACAGTATTATGACCGAGTTGGTTTTCTTTTTATTCTCAAATGAAGAGCATAATCACTTGATGATCTTTTTATCATTCGCCTAATTTTCATCATCAGCATTTCATCCTTAATCAACTTAGCATGATTGGTCCAAGTTGTGGGTGACTAATAAATTTTGTAATATCTGCTAACAAAACACAAAGCGAATATTCTGTATTAATAACAATCAGAGTTGATGTTGATAAACTGCAGTCTGGGACGATAAGGGTTTTTGATGATGTTAATTGCATATGTAACATTCCTCCAAATATTTTTATTATTTATATTTAAATATTTTAAAAAATTAATCACCACTGACGAATTTATGAAGAATATTTCAATCAGGTTCCAACAACATTATATTATTGATTAACTAATGAGAGTTAATTACGAGGACATGTTTATAATTATCAGATTCTTTGCAAACTTTCTTGCTTTCATTAATTTGCACACAACTGCAATGGTAGTGTCTTTTGTGGTCGTCCATCCGAAAGACTGGCTTGGCTGCATGAGGGAGGTTGTGATCGAGAACGTAATGAGTAGAAGAAATAGAGCAGTGAAGGTTAGCGGTTGTCTCTTTCCCAGCCAATTGGCATCGAGAGACGTACGTGCCACCCTTAAGCTAACAATGCTCTCGTGCAGTACACGGATCGATTGGGAGACGGTACAGGTTCATCTCATTCCCCGTGTATTCTAGACTAATGATTTGTTGCGTTTGATCCACTGTTTCAAGTACGATGGTAAGAGTGAGTTCAGCGGTGGCTGGATTCGGCATGGTGGATTTGCTTACAGTGTCTCTTGTTCTTTACTCCCTTAACTGAAATACACATATGTGTGGGTTCCTCGAGCGTGGACACATCTTACCGACAAAAGATTCCTGTCAAAAGAGAAATCCATCTCCCCAGTTGACCTCTTAATGCAGTTAACCCAACTAGTCAGGGATGATAGTTGATTGCTGACTATTTAATATCCAATTTGTTCCCGCACAATGTTCCTCGTTCGTTATATTGTAACATCGAATGGGCTTTGGGGTTTTCGAGTTTTATGTGCCTCTAAACAAAAGTCTTTAATATTATTCTACCCAAGCAGGTTCACATGTTAAATCTACTTTAATTGGAAGAAGAATTCACGTTTCAAGGCCTAATTCCATTTGCACGCCATACATAATCATGTTGGATCAGTCACATAAAAATATAAGAACAGAAAGAAACAAACGATTCATTAGACTGGACCTAAATGTCTAGCGGACATGACCTTGATTTAGATCACCGTTGACTGATCCAACATGATTCATCCCTCACCCATCTTAACATAAATAAAAAAGGAATAGAATCTCAACACTTTCGATCTTGTCTTTTTTTCCTTATCCTTTGTGTACACTCACTATATATCATTCTCATTTTCTACACTATCCCGGAAACCATCCTTTTGCCTGCGCTACTGCCATGTGTAGCTCACCATATAACATTCATTAGGATACCAGCAAGCAAAGAGTAAATGAGCAGCTAACATTTGACAATTATACCATCAATCACAAAGCAACTGCACAAGGAAAACAAAATCAAGTGAATCTAAAACAAAAGATCTGCAAACTGATGATGAAAACGATTTCTCGTAGCTCGTTTCAGGATGAACAGCACCAGTATCCCCTAGCTCCATCGCTCACACCATTCGAATCCCCTTGTAAGATGACTGTCTTCCCATTGCTCAACGATGACATATCGTGCTTCTTCTGCTCTTGAGACAGGAACACCTTCCTACTTAGTATGTGATAAATCTCCTTAACTACAGTTTGAAAGGCTGCTGCGACGTTGGAGGAGTCCAATGCAGAGGTTTCGATGAAGAAGAGGCCTTGGGCCTCAGCTAAGGCCTTGCCCTCTGCGGTGGTAACCTCCCTCACATCCTTGAGATCAGTCTTGTTGCCAACCAGAATGGTCACCACGTTCATGTCGGAGTAAGCTGTTTCAGTATTTCAACAAAGCATCAGATGGCTTGCCTTTTGCCATGGCAAAAGACCGTGCTGAAAGGATAAATCAAAGGAAGAAATATGATAGATATTGATAGCAATATTAAGGTTCCACCCTATGCAAATGGTTCCCAAATTTGGAACCAGTATCAGGTGTTGGTGACAACCCATCATGGCAAAGCCCAGCAAACATCACTATACCTTGACTGAAACTATGGTTCCTAATGAACTTTTGAAACACAATCCAATAGCTGAAATCAAGCATCAGAAACTTTCTTATAAAAACAAAATGTGCAGTAAACATGGTACTTACTGTGCAGTTCATTGAGCCATCGACCAACGCTATCAAAAGTCTGGCGCCTGCTGATGTCGTAAACCACCAAGGCTCCCACAGCTCCTCGGTAATATGCAGATGTCACAGCTTTGAAGCGCTCCTGGCCTGCGGTGTCCCATATCTGAGCTTTGATTTCCTTCCCATCGATGTTCATCTTTTGGGTTTGGAATTCAACCCCGATAGTGGACTTGGAGTTTGGGTAAAATTCATTTCGAGCAAACCTCGCTAGCAAATTCGATTTTCCGACAGCAGAATCACCAATCATAACAATTTTAAAAAGATAGTCCTGGCTCTGGTCTTCATCTCCATTGTAATCCATCATTCAACTCTTTAGCCAATGGTCCTAGTGCAGCACTAACTAAAATATCATACCTAAGACAAAAGCAATTACCAAAAGGCATGAGAACAAAACTACACAAATCCAAGATGAGACTTCGGAATTTGGTTCAACAATAGAATATATGAGTTAATCACCTGCTTTTGAAGTCATATCAAAGAGAACAATATGACACGTATATACACACAGCAGTTTATAAGAATCAACAGTTACTTATTATCATTTACAAACTGAATAAAAAAAAGAAAACAGTTTCCAATAAAAGATTACTTCTTAATAAGCCTTCAACTCTCTTTGCCCAAGACTGGTACAATTTTAGTTGTAAATGCTTATGTTATCATAAGATTTTTTTCACTTATCCTCATATGTTATTTTATAATGTTGTATAATGTTTTGCTGTTTTAAATTTTTCATAATTATTTTTTTTTATCAATTTTTATCCCTCAAATCCCATCAAGTAGATCCTACCAATCTTGGCCAATTGTCCCTTGCCGCTCCTCATGTCAATACTGGCAACAATGCAAATAATTCCATTGTATTTGTCAATTGAAGCAGCAAACATTAATTTTTATCTACTTGATATAGTAAATATCTTAACATTATAAAATTTAAGTTTCTAAAATCTATGAGCAAATTAGAGCTCTCCCTGAACATCAAATGGCACTTTAACTAGCCCAGCAACCAATTCTGAGCAGACCCAAGGCCCCAAACACACTTGCAGACAAATGATAACCAACAAGTCTTAGTTCTAAAATATTCCAAACTAAGAAGCTCAAAAGAGCCATGGCCACACTCAGAATTTTCTAAATACCACAGCTGATGTCCAATGTTGTTGCCCTAATTCCGTAGTGCTAAATTTTCTTTTGATTCAGTTTTTATTCAGATTTTACGGCACTGATAGACCACATACCACTTAAATAACCGATATATATGGCTTTATTACAGAATAACTCGCCATGCCCCTGGTGTTTACCCTTTAGAATTGCACATTCAATTATGCACTTCAAAAAAAGATTACTCACATCTGTGAGGAGTGTGACTGATGGAGGTTATCAACAACAAGAAACCCCCTCCTTGGCAGCTAATCAACACCTTCAGGGACATATTGACTCCCACAATGAAGTTCAAAAGTATCCAGTTCAAACACACCTTTAGGGAAGCAAATAGTGTTGTCAACTGGGTAGCGAGTTTTGCTAGGACTTCCAAATGCACCTTTTTGTTGCAAGGAAATTTTCCTTTGATTTTCTTATAATATCTAGTCATCCAATGTGGAGGGAGTTTTATATACCAGATGCTTAAAGCCTTAGCATAGCTTCTTATTTCTTTGGTTAAAAGGAAAACTTACCATATGATTAAAGCCTTAGTATACCTTCTTATTTCTTTGGTTAAAAGAAAAACTTACCAGATGCTTAAAGCCTTAGTATAGCTTCTTATTTCTTTGGTTAAAAGAAAAACTTACAGAGTCATGACACAGTGAAATATAACACTTCAAAGATTGACCAATGGCTTGCTTCACTGTTATTATCTCAAGGTTAAACCTACCAAAGTCCTTGTTCTCCAAAGCCATGGCACACTTTTCTCATCAAACTTTTGGTCATAGCTTGTGACTCATGATACAGTGAAATATAACACTTCAAAGATTGACCAATGGCTTGCTTCACTGTTATTATCTCAAGGTTAAACCTACCAAAGTCCTTGTTCTCCAAAGCCACAGCACACTGTTCTCAACAAACTTTTGGCTATTGCTTGTGACCCAAAACTTGAATGAACTCTGAAAGAGTACAAATTTCTATTATGAAACCAGTAGGCTTTGGTTTTGATGACTGGTTGTTTCTTTAACATAACATTTGTCTCAAACTTGAGCCTCATCCTTACTTTTTCTAACTTTAGACAACTATAGTAACTGAAACCTCATTTAGACATACATAAATGATATAATATTTGACTAGAACAACCAGGTTGCTAGAATCAGCCACTTCCTCCAAGGCTATCCTTGTTTGCTTACAAATGGAACACACCATTAATATTCAATCAATATCAGCTTGTTCTACAGACTTTGCCAATCCAAGCAGCAGACTTCCATGTTCTTCTTAGTCTGGTAAACCCTAGCTCAATGTAGCTTAATGATACTTCCTATGACTAGATTACAGATATACCTAATCTATCCTATGACATGAATTGCACTTAGTAGCCTATTTATGCATCCTCTGCATCCATTTCCAATCACATTCCATATTCCACCATAAACAGTGATAGTAGATAAAACTTAGCATTAGTATATTAGTAAATCCAAGCAACTAAGATGAATAATCAATATGTCATAATTAATCAATGGTGTTCTTATCTTACCCCAAAACAAACCAAACATAGTTTGTGTTCTTTTCTACCTGGTTGGTAGAGAACTAGCATAGCCCATAATACCATAACATTGCAAGATTTCATCTAGATCACCATGCTATCAAAATGTAACTTCTAGGTTTGTATGTTTAACTTCCACAAAAACTTCTACTCATCCAAGACAAAGGTTAGCTTTACCAACCTGAAGACATCAACTTATTCAATGTTTCCTTCTATACCGTGGCATGATATACATCATAATCAAGAAACCTCCTTGTATCTCCATCGAGTTGCATTTTGATTATTCCTTCATCCTTCCATTTTCCATATTAGTCTACTGAAGAAGGCACTAACGAAGAGCCAATCAACCTTTGCAGTGACCTATCAATTTTAACTAGATGTCTTTAACAATTCCCCAGACTCAAGCTTTAGAATCAACCCTTGCTTCAACACCGGCATCCACTATCTAATGTTCATGTCCTAGAATCAAAGGGTTGGTGGACTTTTAGATATATATAACACACTCAACACCACTAGAAGATTAATAGTGCACTAGAACTCCACTCTAGCTTTTTCTAAACATAGCCATCCTGTTCGCTTACTGTAGATTCTTATAAAATAGATCATCTGTTGTTAATGGGACCTCCTACATATAGAGCATCTAATCTAAGAATAACTATGCTCAAAGGGAATGTTTAATATATGCAGCTTAACTTGTACAAGCAGAGAGAGTGTTTTTTTTTTTTAAAGACCTGAATCATGGTTACTCAAGTCAACCGTAGCATCAAAGCAGACCCTCAAGAGTAATAATTATACATGACTCGATAATCACCTTGAGCAAGTATGTTCTCAGATTTTCGATAAAAGAAGTATGTTCAACCAAAAATTTTAAATATCCCTCATCTCAAGTAACTCGTAAAGATTCATCAATCGAAAAGATAGAACTAAACTAAACTGGGTAGTAACGCTAACTAACAGGAATTGTGTGAATGCTACATTGGTAAAAATGATGCCATGCTTGGTTCCTTTCAGTTAATAATGGAATTCTAGTGTTGGTCCACCATCACCAGGTTGTGTCAGAAACCTATATCAAGCAGAAACTTGGTTCTAGTTTTTGTCAAATCCAATCTATTACAAATCAATACCTTGGGGGTGTTCCTCTCTATCTCAGATCGTGCACTTAGCCGCATTGCAACTATATCAGGATAATGATGATATGCGTACGACGAATCATAGCAAAGTTCATGATCAAAACAGCAAGATTTACTGTGTCTAGGTTACTACATCGAGGAGATTAGCATTCATGATCTTGTGAAATCATCAAGCTAAACACAAAATGCAGAAAGAGAAGCACTAGTGGATTATGTTTACCGGGGGAAAAAAGTCGACTGATGCTAGCAACAATAAAAAAATCCAAATTTTGCGTTTACTTCTGTACATGAAAAACCGAACCTCTCAGATTACCTTTCAGGTCGTAACAGTAGATATATAAAGATCAAATTGAATGTAACAGAAAAAGAACCCCACTCCCCATAACAATGCCGACTTCATTCCAAAATCAAGAATGAATACGACGAGTAGCAAGCTAAAGTTACAGGGAACTAGATATTTCAAGAAATCAAGGAACCGTTGCTAACCGCCTCAAAGATCCAATTTTGTTTAGAAAAAAGATAACGAGAAACCAGATGCAACACAAGAACTCGATCCAACCAGAGCCTGCGGAGTAAATCTGGCAGAGAACTTGAAAGCAAAACGTCAAATATCCCGACGGAACAGAGAAAATGCGTCAAATCTAGCAAAAACCTCAGAGCTGAACTACCTATATCACGCCGAAACAACTCAGATCAAGCAAGGGACCCACGAATTCCATCGCAGGGTCGGCACCGACACCAAAGATCCCTCACCTGGCCACGAAACCCGCACGACGCGCATCTATCCACGCCCAAGGATCGACCTTTACCCTGCCCCTACCAATCCATCGGCCTTCTGGCGACGAGCTTCGGATAGGCTTCCTCTGCTTTCGTCCCTGGCCGGCCCCCGTTTTGGGGGTTTTGGGGGTTCTTTCTTTAAAGAGCAGCAAGGTTGGCGTCCACGGAAGATTCCAGAGAGGGGTAACTGTACCGTAGGTGAGGGGCGGTGAACGGATCTTTACCGCAGGCGTTAAAATCTCGACGAGCGCCGACGGAGGGACGAAGTCCCGATCTCCGCTTCTCGTTTCACCTGCTTTGCTTCGAGGGTAAAACGTTACCACAGTATCTCTCTAACAAAAAAATCAAAATCACAAATATATATATTACTCTTCATTAGTGAAAGGAAAACGTCATTTAATTATTAGAAATTCAAAAAATAAAAAAAAATATATTTTTATATGTTTAATATACTTCATTAAAACTAAAAATTGAGTTTTTTTATATGAATAATTTTAATTTTCTAAATAGTGTGTCAGAAGAAATATGTAAACAGACCGAGTGGTGCCCAACACGTTTCAGTGCTCGAGGGCCACCTCGCCGTTGCCATCCTCCGCCCTCACCGTCAGCTGCACTCGCGCTTTCTCTTCCGGTGCTCACTGCTCCTCCCTCTCCTCTCTTTCTTCCTATGCTCTCCAACTGCACCTAACCTCGGATTTCGGCGACGTGTCCGTCCGCTCTACCCGTGCAAGCAGCCGGGCCCCTCCGGTGCTTGCTGCTGGTAGAACTCCTGGTGTACGGGCATGGCGGCGCAATAGTGGGCGGGGGATGCGCGTGCACTGTAGATGGCGGGCACCCGAGCTGGAGACCCAGATGTCCCTGCACAAGCACCAGAGGTGCCGCCGCCGCCGCCGCCGCGGTCTGCCGAGACCTGCCCCCTCGTATGAAGAAACCGATATTTCTGACCGCAGAGAAAAGAGGAAGGCATCAGTCCACTACACAGACACAGAGGAACAGAGAGATGTAGAAGAATCACCTGCATCATTCGTCAATTCATCGACTTTCATCAGCTCACTTATCTGCTTTGGAATGGCAACTACTCCATTTCAAGAATCAAAGCATCAAACAAGGCCACATCCCACGGTTTTTACAACTTCTCCTATGTCTCCTTTCCCAGGAAGCGAGCGCAAGCTACAGGCATGGTCGCCATTGTCCTTCTCTTTCTTGACCAACGCACTACCCACTACCATTCCTTTGCTCGGCGTCCAGTGCGAGCTCAGCGCTTGCATCGAAGCCGTGTTGGGCCTCTTTTGAGGGGGTGCCGGCTGTCGAGTGCACGTGTAGTGTGCTACCTGTAAAAGCATCGAGTTCCCATTCTTAATCCTATCACCTTACCGCCACCAGACGACTCACCTTTGAGTGCAGAGTCGAAAGAAGCAAGATCTTAAAAAGGTGAATCATACGGCTACATAAGTAATTACATAACAAATTACATGTTATACCGATAATTAATTATGATTAGTATCTCAATTTTTATATTTTAAAAAATAAAAGTAGGATAAGAAAAAACATTTAACCTTAATTCTTATTATATCATTAATTTTATCACACTTATAAAAATATAATTTTATTATTTTTAAATTATTAATTTTATATTCACTTCTCACCCTAATCAATTTCTCTTTCTCTCTTCTTTTCGATCTACTTGTCCATCGTTTGCCCATTGCATCCGTTTGACTTGTATTGTACGATCGTTGTTACTCCTGTAATGCTTGTCATCGTCGCTCCTACACTGCTTGAATGTTGCTACTCTTATACCGCTCGATCGTCGTCTCTCCTGCACTACTCATTGCTATCGCACTAGACCCAACTCACCCGTTGCACCTGGTCGACCGTTGCACGATTAGATGCGTTCACTATATTACCTGTGTATGCTGCCCTTCTGATTGGAACATTGTGAAAAATTGAAGAAAAGAATATATTGTAATGTAGCTGTCATGTCATGATTATAACATATAACAAATTGTTAATACAATTGGAATCCATTAAACAATTTGACGTCATTCCATAGATAAAGTCAACTGAGTGACATGTAAGGAGAAGCAAAAGCAAACAGATGAACCAATGATGATGGAAACCCAATCATCCCTAAATATGAATCCAGACAACCTCAGCACTTGCTTGTAACACTTCAAGATTGTTGTCCTCATGTATAACGAAAAGCTCCTCAACCCTCACTCAGCTGCACCTCCATTATCAATCCTCACTCCACCCTCGGCAACCTCTAGAAGCTTTAGAATTGAGCCACCAACCTCCTTCGGTGTCCAACAAATGCTCTCAATTATGCGGAGGGCAAGCAAGTGCGACAGTTGAGCAGGTGCGATGGGTGAGCTAGGTTCGATGCAACGACAGCAAGCGTTACAGGTGCAGCGATGGAAGAGTGATGTAGGTCGAGCAAATGCGGTGGATAAACGACAAATAAGTAGATCGAAAAGAGGAGAGGAAGATAAATCGATTAGGACGAGATGGGGATTCAAATTTAATAATTTAAAAATAATAAAATTATGTTTTTATCATTTTCATTCATGTTTTTTTGGATATGACAACAAGTGCGATTTTTTTTGTCAACAAAATTAACGATGTAAGAAAAATTGAAATTAAATGTTTCACCATATAAAGATGTAATTTTATTTTTTTAAATATAAAATTTAATATACTAATCATAATTAACTATAGGAGATAATAGATAATTACTCTATATATCTATAGAGATACTAAAATATCAATGCATGCGCACGATGGCACTTATTTTGCCTTTTTATTTTTAATCTTTGTTTACACGAATGGAATCCTTCGGTGTGATGTACCGACGTGGTCGTCGGTCAAAATCTGACTTCTGATGTTCCGACTCACCATCTCTCTGGTCTTAATGTGATATCTTCGTCGGTATTATTTACAGTTTCGTGAGCACAAAATATGTTAATCACAACTTAACATTATTTGAACCGTTCCACCGTCTCTTTCGAGATCCTAATTGACGCAATCACACTCGAAACCTTCCAAGCAGACATCGTATTGGACATTGTTCTCGTCATTGGCGAGAGGATGGATGCATCGTGTCCATGTTGTTGACTCGTGTCGGGAAAAGACAATAAGTGCATCCCAGAAATGCCTTGCAATCCCAGATTCCAAGTCAATCTCACCTCTTCTTCCGTGTATAAATCATGGTCTTTATGAGGAGGAGGAGGAGGATTCGCTCAGTCTCCCCACGTTGATCGACTCCAGAATCCACTGTTCAGGTTCCAAGCTCGGCGCAGCGGCCGCCACAAGCTAAGCCGCCGCCTCTTCCCTGCTCAAAATGACCGACCCAACGGCCATGAGCTACGGCAACCGGAAACCTCACTTCGTCTTGGTTCCTCTCCTTGTCCAAGGCCACATGATCCCCGTGATCGACCTGGCTCGTCTTCTCGCGCTCCAAGCGGTGGCCGTCAGCGTCGTGACCACCCCCGGCAACACTGCCCGGTTCAAGGTCTTGATCGATCGTGCGAACGCGGCCGGCCTGCTGATTCAATTTGGTGAGCTCCGGTTCCCTTGTGCCGAAGTTGGGTTGTCGGAGGGCTGCCAGAGCTACGACGTCATCCCGTCATGGGAGCTCGTCAAGAACTTCCACCTCCGTCAGCAGTGCCCGAAGCCAAGCTGCATCATCTCCGACGCATGTTGTCCGTGAACGAGTGAGGTCGCTCGCGAACTGCGTGTGCCTCGGTTTGTATACCACGCGCCCTCCTGTTTCTTCCTCTTGTGCACTCGTAACGTGAGCAAGCACAAGTCCGGTTACCATTTAGCCGACACATTCGAGCCCTTCCTCGTACCCGACTTGCCTCACAAGGTGGAGGTGGTGAGAGCCCAATCTATGAGTTTCTTCGACTATCCAGGATGGGAGAAGCTCCGCGACGAGGTGGCGGAGGCTGAATCCACGGCCGATGAGTTGGTGATGAACAGCTTTCGCGAACTGGAGGCCGCCTTCATCGACAGCTACCAGAAGGCGCTCGAGAAGAAGGTTTGGGCTCCAGGACCAGTCTGACGAACGTCGACGAGAACTACATTAGGAAACTGGCTCGACGCCAAGGAGACGGGGTCCGTTATCTACGTTAGCTTCGGAAGCATCGGGAGCCACAGCTCTTCTCGTCTGATCGAGATAGGACTTGGCCCGGAGGCGTCGAAGAGCCACAGCTCAAGACCAACATGTCCAGTCCTCATATTGCCGATGATTCGGAAGGTCTGATCACCCGGGAGGACGTGGAGAAGGCGGTCACGGAGCGGCTGGATGGAGGAAGCGGAAGAAGAAGAGAGGAGGATGAGGGCCAAGGAGCCGGGGGAGAAGGCCAAGAAGGCTCGTCGTCAGAAGACTTGACGCTCATGAGCCGACATGCTCTGGAGCTTGCACACGAACTTCCGACGCACAGAAGCTTCAGTTATCTCTCCGAAATAAGAATTATGTGATACTCGAAGGGAGGATGACATTCGAAGAATACCTCCTCAAATAAAACAATTTTGAACTCCAATAATTCACTTGATTACTTTATACTTTGTTGATATCTACAGGTTGATGAGATTATCTCATCTATGTCTATCTAGTATTATTAAGGCTCCACCCAGTTATCTAATTAGATTATCTACAATTCAATCTTATGTATGAGATTTAAAAGTCTTTAAAAGCTCTCCAAAAGACGATGTCAAAGTTTAAACCACAGTTTGGTTTAATCTGAATCGCTTATAAACCTATGAGCAATTTCATACAACACCCAAGCAAATGCCAATGTTTCTTTACTAACTAATTGAGTGTGCCTACTGTGGTCTGTGGTTGCAGTAAGGATGCTCCGAGAGGAGCTGCAGCTACTTCAGGAGCCTGGTTCTTATGTCGGTGAGGTGGTGAAGGTTATGGGGAAATCAAAGGTCTTAGTCAAGGTAAATTATGTAGCTTATTTGCCCTTTTTTCTTCTTGGATTTACCACCTAACACTTATTTTTCTCATGAGAAACAGAGATTTCATTTATTCTATTTATGATCTTTCTGCATTTTTCACCCTCAAAATTTGTTTGCATCTATTTGGAACTTTTTTGACATCTTAGCTAATTGCTACTCATTACTCAATTGAAAATTGTTGAAAGTAATGGACAAAATTTGGCTATAATTAACATGGTTTACAGGCTTGATTCAGCATCATTCAAGCAGAGAAAGATATGAAAAAAATTACGATTATACTCAGGAAGATGAATCATAGGTATGTATTGGACTTCTCTAGATTTCTATTGATTATACTCAGGAAGATAAAGCATGTAGGCTGGAGGTGATTTGTGATCTTGGTAGAATATTTCAGATTTAAAAATATTCACAATTTTTTGTTTCTTTTCAATATTCTTAGTTTCGTTTCAGAAGTAACAATCTGAGTCTTGGTAATGAAAGTTGATTGTAAGATTCTTCTGAGCGAATCAATATGTAATATGTATTCATCCGTCAAAATTTTGTAAATAAATTTCATTAACTGAATATGTATTACTATTACCATATCATTACTAAAGTCCAAATTGTTACTTTTGAATAAAATGTAGACATTTCTAAAAACCTCTAGACCAAGCTCCATAAGTATTTTTCAATCTAAAAATTCTATCAAAGTCATGGATCATCAATGGCTTATATATTTTATAACAATAGAAAATGCCCATGATATAACTAAGATTGATCATCCTGAATATGATCTTAATCTTCCAATACATACCCGGGATGAAATCTGATTTCCGATCTGAAGATACTCTGCGAATGTAGTCCTGTTTTCTAGCAGAAATATGACTTGCTCATACATTTGAAGGGTAAAATAAAACTTACATAAAGTTAAAAGAAACTTTAATATTCCTTTTTATATTAGTTCTTTTTAAGATTCATAATTCCACTTATGTTGATAAGTAAAAGGGATTATGGGTATTGCACTATGAATCTTGAAATGGAGGTAGCACATAAGGAGCAGGTTCTATGATAAGGACAACCCTTCAATTCTGTTTATGTGCCCTTCAGCAATTTTGATTCAGTTTAAATGCTGAATATCATTACTCAAAGATGCAAGAAAAGTGTGATTTTTAAAATTTTCTACTTTTCTAGGAAAGGAAACTATAATATAAGTTGTTCTAGATTGCTAAGACAAGGAATTAGATGTAGTCAATATATTGATAGCCCATAATTTCATCCTGTAGTTCCTCAATCTTTTTAGGTCTTTGGATATCTAAATGTTTCTTAACATATAAGCAGAATTTTTTTAACTATATATACTCGATATTAGAAGTGTTCTCTCTATGTATATGGTTTCTGCATTTATTTGAAAGCAAAGCACTTGACAGAACTACAATATGGCAGTGTCCTCATATTTCAATATTAAATATATGATTATCACTTTTGATAATTTTCCTTTAGTTTTGGAGCTGAGCAAGTCATGGCTTCTATCATCATATATTTGTATAGGCTATAACCTCAGTTCAGATTAATAGTTTTAGATGGTGCACAATAGAATCATAGATTGGGATCTATGATCTATAACTAGGTTTTTGAAGATGCATCTTGTAAAGAAAAGAAAACTTGTGAGGAGCATGTGCCACTTTCTGTGTAGACAGAGCACATACATGTCTCAAAACCAAATGATAACAGATGTAGATAAGTGCTTCCTTTGGGCTCCATGTCTATGTTCTGTATCAGAGTGTGGATTCACAAAAGCATCCAGCTACTATTGTGTACTAAGGCAACAGTCATGACCAATAGAAGTTTTTATCGATTAGTATCACCAACTATGGAGTTTTTTAGATTTTGCTTTTTGATGTCATTTCTTTTCTCTTAATATTTCTTTTCTCTTGGAAGGAATGAGGTTCAATAGTGTCGTCTAATACCAGAAAACTTGAACATGACTTAAAAATGCTTCATAGAAAATTACTTTTATGATTGTACTCTGTATCTTATCCTAATAGATCATAGATTGATTTATTATTCTGAGATGGGAAGTTCTATACATAGATAGTAATTCTCTACAATTTTTGTGATTATCTAAATGATCATCCTGGACAAGGCAAACCTGTTAATCAAGATGCTGCATTCTTTTATTACTAAAATGAATTAGCACTTGCAATCTAGGAGGGTGGAACTTTATACCTCCAACAACACTATGGCTTTTTGTATCCTTTGTTAAATTTAAAGAGACCATGATAGGAAAAATCAATTAGCTTTGGTCCCCTCTTTGGTAATTTGAACTGTGCTAATGCAAATACTTTTCCTGAAGGGAACATGCTCCGTCAATTATTTTCATGGATGAAATAGACAGTATTGGATCTACTAGAATGGAATCTGGCACCAGAAATGGTGACAGTGAAGTGCAAAGAACGATGCTTGAGCTTCTTAACCAGCTTGATGGCCTTGAAGTGTCAAATAAAATAAAAGCATGTTGATATCTAGCTTGTGATTTAGCTTCATTCCTATTATAGAAAAGTCAATTTCTTGGTATATTGTTTAGTAGTGTGCTAAACGAAGTTGATTGTTTTATCCAAGGTCTGCTATACCGAAGCGTACCGCCCGGTACGGACGGTATGTACCGGTCCAACAGGTTACCAGTACGCGGACCGCCTGGTATCATTACAGTGTTACATTATTATACTGTAGCACTGCTATAGTATAAAAAATATAAAATTACTCGGTACATTAGGGTATACTGCTCGGTACACCGGTATCATACCGTACCGAGTCCGGGTCGAAACACCGGTACGATACGGTAAGGCAAACCTTGGAATTCCCTAATTCCAACGAAGAGGTAACTGTTAGAATAGTCAACGGCCATGTATTATTATTCTTTAACAAATAATATCAACCTCCAATTGTATTTCGGTCCCGCTTTGATATCTTGAAAATTCACTCAAGGAAGATGAACTTGATGCGTGGAATAGATCTCAAAAAATTGCAGAAAAAATGAACGGAGCATCTGGAGCAGAGCTTAAGGTATCTGTTTATGGTCGGATCCTTTCTTCCCTCTTCCTCCACTATTTGCTTCATGATTGCAGTTATTTTTTGCTTGGCAATCCTTTAAACAGTAGTAAGCATGCCATTCTACATGGTGCTGCCAACTTTTTTTCTTTCTATCATCATCAGTTTTAGGTAGGCACCTTTTCTTAGTTGTAAACTCATGCAGTTTCTTGTGCTCAAGATTTAGAATGCCAAGTTATGCTCTGAATAGCATTTTACTTGCATGTTTTGCTGCTTTATTCTCAGGCTGTGTGCACAGAAGCTGGGATGTTTGCACTCCGGGAAAGGAGAGTTCATGTAACTCAAGAGGATTTCGAGATGGCAGTTGCTAAAGTCATGAAGAAAGAGACCGAGAAGAACATGTCCAAACTGTGGAAGTAGATCACTTCATTTTGTCTCCGCTTGTTGTTTGTCAAGTGTTGCCTACTGAAGAATTCCTTCAAATGCTGTATCAACTGCACCTCATTGCTACAGATCGGGGGGCAGCTGATCACTGGCGATGATAGACGGTCAGATTTACAGTATTTTAATACGAGTGTATAATAGTTGAGATTTGATATAGGATTGGAGAAGGGTTAAGATGAGACAGCTAAAGCAAAGCATGGTTGACTAGGAATTGTTGAGGATCCCAATTTCGAACGAAGACACCAAAGACGTTAAGATTCGAGTGATGAGACTATATCCAGTAACCACTCTACATTCAATCATCATCATGTAAAATGTTTGATGTTTATTACTATCATGATCACTTTCTTTCATAGACAGTTTAGCTAGAAGAATACCTCTAATATTTATTCAGTTTTTGGATGAAAATTTAAAATATTAAAAAATGATTTATGCTAAAAATATATATATATATATATAAAGATTAATTAGAAATAATTATAATATTTATTTAAGAGATTTGATCCGGTGGCAGAACGAGATGGGACGCGTTGGAATCACGCACGGGCCAGCAGGGTATATCTTATTTCCGTTTAATTGAGGACTCACGTGCATCGCACAAGGCGATAGCCACGTCATGTCCGGGACCCTCGGGTAAATGCAAGCTCCGTCACAGGGGCGTTACGGTAAGTATTGGTCTCCTACTGTTTTAAACTTAACCTATCGGAGGTGGTCTCGTGAAGCTTTTAGGTTTACCCATTGTCTCCCAATCGCGTCGCAGAGCTGCTGCTACCGCGGCTGCTCCTCTCAGATTCCCCTCCTCGCCATCCCGCAGGGTAAAGGTTTTATCTCTCTTACCGTTTGAATGCGTCTTCCACGATTCCTTCTCGTGGGTCGCCTTCTCGTCTCCATCTTCTCTGGCCTTTCTTTCTAGGTTGTAATCTGTATACCAGCTGCAACATCTGTTCGTTTCTGGTTCATTGGTTTGGGTTCTGCTGCTTATTCTATGTTTCTTTTCATCCGTGCTCCTGGGCCTTTGTACAATTTTGCTAGGGTTTAGGGTTCCAGGATCTGATGTTTTGAAGAATAGACTTAGACTTGCTCGTCGGTATCGAGTCTTTGCCAGTCTGAATCATCGGTTTTTCCCATTTGATACTTGTCTGGGCCTGTTGTTTTCCCTTATCCGTACTTTGATGGTTCTTCCAATTTGCGTGGATTGGTCGGAGCAGTGCCATTGTTGATCCATCGGAGAATCCATTGATACTGTCACTCTGAAAATTATATTTGTCTTAGATAATTAACTTGCTAATTATATATATTTTTTTTCTTCCTTTCTCAGATTACTCTTTCTAGCATTACACGTTAGCAGAACACATTATCTTTATTGCACGACTTTTTTGTTGATTTATCTTCTGAAATCATGCAGACCAAGTTTCCTTGTTTGCCTTATTGAAGACCAAGATGAAGAAAAAGGTGAAAAAGAACCCTATTGTCTTCCTAGATGTATCAGTTGATGGAAATGCTGCACGAAGGATGGTGTTCGAGGTATTGAATCTAATTGTGCAGTAACTGGACTGTAAGATTTTGTTTCATCTTATCATTCCCTGTAAAGCGGACAATCTGTCTTTTTCTTTCCTTCTTTCAAAGTGCACTTTGTTAGACTGCTGATGAATTGTACTATTGCAGCTTTTTGCTGATATTGTTCCAAAGACTGCTGAAAACTTTCGAGCACTCTGCACAGGTAATTAGCTCCTCTAGAGGCTAGTAACTCCATCCATGTCAGTTTATGCCAGGGTTGCACCTATATTTACACTTCCTTTTTTTTTTCAATATGATTTTTTTTCAAAGGGAGAGTCGTTTGTTGTTAGTACTTTGTCATTGCTGGCATATGTCTCAATTGTTTGCAAAGAAGTATTTTCTTTTTTGAGGATTGAAACTAGCTGGGTATTCCAGTTGTCGTGGACTTTAGATGAGTTGTGGTTTACACTTTACAGGTGAAATAGGATTTGGGCTTATGACTAGGAAGCCCCTGCACTACAAGGGTTCAATCTTCCATAGGATTATTAAGGGTTTTATGGCACAGGTATGTTCTTATTTCTTCATGAATTTTACATAGCAGTCATTCACTACTTTTGACTCATGTATGCCTTGCACTCTTTTCTGGTATTTCATGTTATCTTTTAGTCTTTGTCACATTACCCTTTGTATAAGCTGTAGGATATAGGCCAGATGGTCATGGCTCTTTTTGTTGTCATATAGTGTTTAAGGTTGTCTCTTGTTGTGTCTTCTGCTGATAAATTTTTCAATTTGCCTTGTTGAGTGATGTGATTGTTCTTTTGACAGGGTGGTGACTTTTCAAGACATAATGGTATGGTTTATACATCCCAAGTGTAGTTTGCTATTTTTCATTGTAGTTTTGGTTTGAAATTTTTTGTTATACAGATTTTATAATTTCTTATGTTGGTTAATGTATATCTTAACTTAGAATGTTGGTTGCTGTATTTTTTATTTTTTTCCATAAACTCTAGATTTGATACTTATATTTGTCTGCATTCAAGCATGTAGAAGCTGCATGCACAAACACACTAGCAATCATCTTTAGAAATTTTCTTGACTCAGATGGTCGAATTATAAACTTTCTGTGATGTTAATGGTTCTGAAAAATGCAGTTATGTGGGTTTATAGGATTAGGGGCTGTTGACCAAGCAATAATAGCTACCAGACAACTGTAATTTGAATTGAACTAGGATATATTATTGAACAATTGGTCTCTCTTCTGAAGGTCCCAATTAATACTTATTTGAGTTGCTTCATTTATATGTTTTGATAGTTTAATTACTCGTCTACTGTAATTATCTAATTCTTTTGTGATGGAAAAGATGCAACTTTTAGGTGTTGTTGTCTCTTTTGCAAGTTGACATAGTAACCGCAAGGTTGGAAGCAAGTTAATCTGGCAGTCAAATTATTTGTTTTTCAATAAAAAAATTTCTCTGTAAATTGTTAAAACTCCAACTTGCTAAGTGTCTTGCAAAAAAAAAAAAACTTGCTAAGTGGTTCTCTTAGAAGACAGTTTTAATCATTGTGATTGTTACTTGCTAGTTTTCATGTTCATGTTTGATTGAACTGCTGGACTGGTAGAATTACAGGAGCATCATGCTTCTCAAAACTAATGGAAAGCTAATAAAGCATCCTTTGGTTTCTGAACAGTAGAGCAAGTTGCTGCTCAGGAGAAATCTTGGCATCATGGTAAAATTGCTCTTTTTTTATCTAGATAACCATTGTTTAAGTCAAGGTTTTAAATACCAGGTGTGCTGCCCAATATAAGCCCGGTATTTACCAGTCTGATAGGTGATTCTGCTTTTGCAGACTGATTAAAATGGGGTGTGCTAGATGGTGCACTTCCTGTTTTGTGTGTACCGATCGAAATGTGATCATAGACACATCTAACTGTCAATAGTTGTCAACAAATGTTTACAGACAGCCCTCCTCCACTCTCCCTTGCAGCCTCCGTCACAATTGCAACCTCTGCTGTTACCACTTCGGCAATTGCTTCCTCCCATTGCTGTAACTGCCCCTTTCTGTTGCTGCCACTGCCTCCTCTTTCAGTAGTTTCACTGCCGCCCCCTCCTCTTCTATTTCTCTGCTGCCACCATCTTCTACTTCTCCTCCACCGCACCTTCTCCTCTTCTCCTTCTCTTCCTCCTCGTCATCTCTTTCTCCTTCCTCCTCATCTGCATCCTTCTCTGTCCGGACCAGTGGGAAACACCATTTGGGAACCTTGGTTCATGTAAATATTGATCCTTCCATATGCTACATTGGTGGGAGCCTTGTGCCTTGGCTGCCCTAATCTAGAGTAATTTGTTTCTTGTAATCAGATGATGCTCTTTTGGCCTATGATTTTTTTTTTCAACTCTTTTTAGTAGGCAGCATTTTAGCTTTAATGTCACTACATCTATGTAGAGTTAAGGCTGGGTTAGGAAAGCTGTTTGATCTTTCTACATCCCTTGTCGTCCTTTGTCAGTTTTGATGTGTGCCATAGCATGTACGTTTGAACTCAGCAATTTAATTCCAGAAAAAAGGATATGATGGAATAGTAAGTTTCAGGTTCATTTATCCTACTACTTATGGTATATTGGTAACATTTTTATCACTTGATTTTTCTGTGTTATTCATTGATATTACTGATTTGGAGTCATCATCGTTGTCCATCTTGCACATCATTTTATGCTTGTTGCTGCAAATCGAAGATTGTCTTATACTTGGTCAACAAAAAGAGTTTAGCTGTTGCCTTTTGAATTTATGGTGGTGCAAGATATTTGCTGGTAGTATTAAGATCAGATTAATAGTAGGAATTGTTTACAAACATGTACACTTGTGTCTCTTGCAAAAATGTTTATAATTCTACAATGTCCTTCATCTCTCTCTCTCTCTCTCTCTCTCTCTCTCTCTCTCTATATATATATATATATATATATATATTTGCATTTTAGAACATATAGTATCTTATGTAAATAGATTTGCATGAATATTAAGGTACTTACTTTACTATTATTCCTTGCTAACTTTGTCCATTGTTTGCATGAATATGTTGCTCCTTCATCGGTCCTTTTTAGTATTGATACAAATAATAGTTATGCAACAGGTCACAATCTGATAACAATATGAACAAAAGGGTGAAATGTTAGTTAGAAAGCCTTGTCACAGATTGTCGTTTGGGTAATGCCAATTAAGAAAACTATGAGTTACATCACATGTTTTTTTCAATTTGCTCTATTCGAGGTTGCTCTTTTAGGTGTCAACTTGGAAGAATCTGCTTATATTTCTTGTGTGATGGTTTTCTGTGATTTTGACATTGCATATATGGACTAAGACTAGATGCGGCTTCTTTTTGTATCTTTGCCTTGCTGTTTCTTGTACATTTTATATGATGCCCTGATTATGAATGAGGGTTTTCTCGATAATGACTATGGTGCAACATCTGGTTAGTCGATGACATTTTAATTGCTTGATTGTTGACAGCATCTGTTATTGTTTTCAGGAACTGGTGGTGAGAGCATATATGGTGGGAAATTTGCAGGTAAATTTACTTAAAAATTTTGGTAGGATGTGTTACACACGCTTATGCACTCTATAGTTTTAGTTCTATTGGTGTTCGTATTAATTTTTTAATAGAGAAAGTTTATTTATAACTTTTCAGAATATGTAAAATCTGGTGTATGCCTCTTATAAAGTTAAAATTATCTGGAATACAGCTTTAACATAACCTGATTTCCATACAACTGCCTCTTTCTCACATACTCTTGCAAAATTTCAAATTGGAAGTGTATTTATGAGGTTTCTTTAATTTTCCTTGAAAGTTTAACTTAATAAGTATATCTATAAGATTTTCAACTTGAGATTTGTCTATAATATCATCAGTGCATAGAAGTGCCTCCTTTGAAACTGAGACAATTGTTTCATATAGTAGGTTGTGATGTTTATACCTCAAAATATGTGATTATTTGTATTTGTGTAAATGCTCTTATGTACCTAATATATAGGTTTAATTTTTGTCCCATTGTCAGTACCAGAACCTGTTTGAACTGGTACATATGATCGGTGTAGAACTAGATTATTAAATATGGTTGATTTCTGTTATGTTTGATTTTATGGTTGTCCCATTATGGTTGTCCCATTATCAGTACCTAATATGTAGGTTTTATGGTTGTCCCATTATCAGTACCAGAACCTGTTTGAACTGGTACATATGATCGGTGTAGAACTAGATTATTAAATATGGTTGATTTCTGGTACCAGAACCTGTTTGAACTGGTACATATGCTCTCTCTATAGCAACAATATAGAGAGAGAGGTATTAAAAACCTAAACCCTAAATTAAAGAAAAATATAGATAAGGCTTACCATCTGGTTTATGCAGGTTACTAGGTGGGTAACCTGTGAACCCAGCCTCAGACTGGTAAATATCATCCCATATGTACTAATGTACATTTCTGGACAGTATTTTGAACCTTGATTATAAGAGCAAGAATCATTACAAACGTATGACCTAGTCAATATGGTTGAAGTAGCAGTATGCTGGTTAGGTCTATCATATCTTTAGCCCCTGCATTTTTGGAAAAAATCTTGCTGCTATTGCTTTTTGGTGGATATATATTTGCAATGCTGTTTTTAGTTTATCTGGTCTGATCATTTCGAACAGAGACCGAAGCTCTTAACAATATTGTTTGCTAATTAGGTGCTTTGTATAGGCAGCATGCATGGCATTTGAATTGGAGTATCTGCAAACCATTATCTTATTATGTTTATGTTGAACTTTTAAACTAATATAATATTGTGATCAGCTTTGGCTTGAAAGTATGTGGTACAATTAGGTGCTAACATTCTCATACCTTCGAGATGGATTCATAGAAAACGAATTCTGCATTAAAACAAGAACCTCGGCACAATAATTTATTCACAAAACTATGTGGTTTGTTTGATGAGATGAAAATGTGTTCCTTGAAATATGTGCCTAAAAAGTAGCGTTTCGATTTTTTTGGTTGTTGTAATTTATTTATTTTGCTGATGTTCCCAGATGAAAATTTTATGCTGAACCATGATGGTCCTGGTCTTCTTGCGATGGCAAATGCTGGCCGTGATACTAATGGTTCCCAGTTTTTTATCACTTTCAAGGCTGCTCCTCATCTTGATGGGTTAGTTCCATGTTATGCATCTACTGTGGTTGCTTATTTGACTACTGTTGATATTTAGTAGTATGAATGAGGAAATATTCTGATAAAGAATGCACATATTTCATGCATCAAACTCTCATGCTCCAAGTGATATGATCCAAGTGATATGAGGCTCTTACTATAACATTTATGTTTTCTTTCATTTAAGCATGTGCACCTATGGGGTTTCTATATCTACTGATAGTGCTACATTACTTTGATGCATGGTACACAAGCACATGAAACCAATCTGCATTTGATTTTTAATCATGATAATAATTGACAGTTCCTATAAGCATGTGAATATTTGCTTGTATATATAATGAATTATACTAACTTGTTAATATGATGTTAGCCACATGGTTATGCCACATCTCTCTTTGTTATGCTTGAGACATTTGTCCCTCTTATGTCATTACATGTGATTCAATTCTAATAAACTGTTGGTTGAAACTTTTGTCAGGAAACATGTTGTATTTGGCAAGCTCATTCTAGGACAAGAAACTTTGAGGGACATGGAGAATGTTGATGTCGATGGTGACAGACCTGTTGTTCCTGTGAAGATTGTTAGCTGTGGGGAACTTAATGAGAGTGCAGCTGCATTGCATGAAAATGGTATTATAAGTGGAAGAGCATTATGTTTTTCTACTAGCTTCTAATTAATTTTTAAGATCAAGGGCAACTTTTTGCTGCATGCTAATCAGTTTTCTCTTCATATGGATTCTTCTTTGTTCCATTTCCAAATAATCAGATGGTTTTTGTATGGTCAGAGAAGAAGAAAAATGCCAAATTGAAGAGAGTTAGAGACGCTTCTGATGATGATCACGAAGGACGGTCTCGGGGACAGCATAAGAAGTCTTCTAAAAGAAGAAAGAAGAAAAAGAGAAGACACTATTCGTCTCAATCCGATAGCTCATCAGAAACAGAAACAGAATCTTCAGAAATTGACAGTGATTCTGAATCTGACACATCATCTGCATCTGATAGCAGTGGCTCAAGTGATGACCGGCGGCAGAAGAGGAAGAAATACTCTAAAAGAGACAAGTACAAGCGTGGGAAAAGGAAAAGGGATAGAAAGCGGGAGAAAAGACACAGAAGGCATGATAAGAAATCACGGCACAAGGCCAAAAGGTTCCCATCTACTTATGGCATAAGATATCTGATGATTCATGCATGTTTTTTCTTTTCAATACATTTTGTATGCAGCAATTTTCTTTTAACACATGAAAATGATATATCCTTTCTTATGCTAATACTAGGACGCCGGACAGTGAATCTGAAACAGAGAGTAAAAATGATAGCAGCTCTGATGCTGCTGGAAATGATAGACGACGAGAACGGAAGTCTAAGGTCACTTCTCATAAGTCTGGTATGTCTAGTTTCTTATTTTGTTCTCCCTCACTATTAAATTTCTAATAAAATCCATGTAATAGCTTGTTTAGATCATGAGAACTTGCAAAAATAATATAAATGACATAATGACATTAATAACAAAGAAAATGATATGTATGGAAATTTTTTCCTTTATGGTATCATTAGTTTGGGGTGTAATTCATTTAAGAATCTAACCTGTTTTCCCAGAAAAAATATTCAGTTTCCTTCCCCTTGGCATGTGTGTAGTTCTATAGAGGATATATTAATATTAAACCCATGGGATGAAGAAAATGAGTATGTTGGAAAATATCATTTCTATTGTATTAAGAAAGCATACAAAAAACTTAGAATATGTTTGAATAATCCTTGATATTTCACTTGTATTGTTTTGGGTCCTGTCTGATATCTGTGTGCCTAGGATTCCATTGCTTGTATCGTGCATGCACTCAGAGATACTCCAGGTGTGCCTACCTATATGTATCTGAAAGTCAGCACGTAGACAACCACGTGTGTAAACTGTATAAACAAAATTTCCGACATCACTGCTTAGGAAATGTATTTAACTTTCTAATGTATGCTCTCTTCAGATAACATAAATATTTCACCACTTTAAGTGGATCAAGGTGGATGGCATGGGTATACGTAGCAGCCAGGCAATGTCCATGTAAATAAGTTTGTTCTGATTAGTGTCTTTTTATTTTAGAGAATGTTACCCTTCTCTCAGTGCCTTGTATTTTTTATGATTCAGCTTTAATATAGCTCCGTGAATTTCATTATTTGACAGTGATATTCTCGCTGCTATTGTGTTATTCTTTTTAGATGATAAACAGTCACCAGTACCTTTGGGAAGAGAAAACACTATTGAATGTCCTGACAATGGAGATAAACCTGACAAACCTCTCGGAGAAGAACCCAAATCCCAGGGAGAAAATGGAGAGCTCCAGAGCAGTGACATTAGAGAACCGACTGACAGAGATATGGATAGGCTACTTGGTTCAGATGACATTCCAAATAAATCTAGGTTTCTTTCTTCTTCTTACACCTAAAGTTGTTCTTTCTGTTTACTTCTTCCTGTCAAACTGGCATTTCATTTGACATTCATGAACAGGAGCCAAATCACAAGACGAAACCATTCCATGAGCAAGAGTATGAGTATCAGTCCAAGGAGTCCAACTCAAAGCCCAAGTCTGAGCGCCAGAAGGTCACTGAGTAGGAGCCCCACTACAAGAGATCTTAGTAGAGGTCCTGTTCATCCACCCCGAAGGAGCAGCACAAGTAGAAGCCCTCCTCAGAGAAGCATCAGCAGAAGCCCGTCTGGAAGAAATGCTAGAAGCCCCATTAGAAAAGTTGTTAGCAAAGGTCCAGTGAGTCAGACTAGGAGAAGCAAAAGCAGAAGCCCAGTTAAAGTTGATAGTAGGAGTGTAAGCAGAAGCTCGGCAGGGTCCCTGCAGCAGAGAAATCCAAGTGGGAACATGGACAAGGCTCCTATTCAAAGAAGCCTGAGCAGAAGTCCCATCATGGAAAAACAAAGAAGCATTAGTCGAAGCTCAGGAAAGTTGCTGCAGCAGAGAAGCCCTAGCAAGAGTCCAGTGAGGGCTAGGAGAAGTGTGAGTAGAAGCCCTGTAAAGTCTAACGGCAGAAGCAAAAGTCGTAGCCCTGTACGAGCTCATTCCCGAAGAAGCATCAGCAGGAGCCCTGTTCGCAGGGCAATCTCACCGTCATCTAATCGTCGCAGGAGCTTGTCAAGAAGCATTCCCCCGGATGGGTCTCCCAAGCGCATAAGAAGGGGTAGAGGTTTCAGTCAGCAGTACTCCTTCGCGAGAAGATACCGAACTCCTTCTCCTGACCGGTCTCCTAATAGATTCCACCGTTATGGTGGAAGAAGTGATCGTGATAGGTAATGTGGCATTATGTTGAATGATTGTGTTTGTTATTTAAAGGTCAATTCCCTTTATAAGTATGATTTTGTTGTCATTCTTATTCCTTTTCTAGGTATTCAAGCTATAGAAGCTACCACAACCGTTCCCCTAGACGTTATAGGAGCCCTCAAAGAGGAAGAACCCCACCAAGGTAACATTACCTTTCTAACCATTTTAGTTTGCTGCAAATTATACATTTCAAGTGTAGTTGTGATTCATCAACTGAAAAGATTTATGGGAAAATAAAAAAATGTGGTTAGCACTTCTTAGTTCTTAGTTCTTACTATAAGATCGAGGACTTTGTTGATGCAAGCCATAGCAAATCCTTTGGAGATGGTTGCTTATATAACATTCTTGTTTTGCAAGTATCGACACTGACAACTTTTTTATCTTTTAAATCTGCACGGTACTAAGTCTATGAAAATATGTTGTATATGATGATTAGATGTTCAACTTTGATATTATTTTATACTTCATAGTTGTACTTTTTGTACAAGTATTTTAATCTGTAAAAGCTTACTTTCCAATAAATTATATCCTGGCTGTCTGACAAGTTATCTCCCTCTACCTGTAGTATCTAGGTCATTGACTTCGGTTCATACTACATATGCTTCTTTGGTAGGATAAATTTTGCCCTTTGGGCATAATGATTTACCAGTAGTTTATTCCAAGGTTTCATGGTTGAAGATTTGTCAACCTACTTGATGATTGGGATTTTTCATTGTGAATTGACTTTTTCTACATGATAGTGGTTCGCACAATGATGTGGATCTGAACCTGGATAGATAAGTTATCCATAATTGCAAGAACTGATGCAAATATCCCTTAAGAAAAATAACAAGATTTTGAAAATTCCCATTATGTCAAATGATGTTTATAAAAACTCGGCATTATAATCCATTAAATTTACATGGTCTTTAAATCGTAAAGTGATGGCTATTATTACTAAATCTTATGGAGATGACTATATATGTCAATGCATATTATAGTCTGGGCATTAGAGAGAGCATGTAGTTAAGATTATATTTAATTTCGTTCAGCTTGATTTCAAATTGGAAAGAACCATTTTTATTTCTAGAATGTTGGATATTGAATGAATTAACAGGAACTATTAGCTAAACTGGACCAAATTATTTCAGTTAGGACTGTCAATTTCTTCTGCTTCCTTGTTCTTCTTTCTATGTTTATTTTAGCTAAAATAAGAATGTTCTTTTATTCTATGTCAGTGATTTGTTAAATTTGCTTTCAGTTTTTAAGGTTCTTAAAAATGTGGATTGTGTCTATGAATTTTAAAGTTCAATTTGGCTTTCAAAACGGTGCCAAAGGAAATTTGTTTTGGTCTCTGTGGCGAGCTTTACCTTCAAACTTATATGGACTCTGTTGTTGTTTTTCCTGTGTTGAATGGTTTCTTTTGTCATGTACTTAGGTACCGAAATCGAAGGAGCCGAAGCGTATCCCGTAGCCCTGCTGCCCGGCCAAGAGTTGGCTACAGCATGAACTCAGCTCACAGTCGTTCGCCTGCTTCCGAAAAACCAAGGCCACACGGCACTAGAGACAACGTTCGTTCCGAGAAGCATCAGTCAGTCTCGAGAAGCAGAAGCCCATCTGGATCACGGTCGAGGTCCAGGTCCAGGTCTCGCTCCTCCGCCGATACTCCCTCTCCCAAGCGAGTGAGCAAGGAGAAGTCAAGGTCCCCCTCCAGCAGTTCTGGCGGAAGGAAAGGGCTGGTCTCATACGGAGACGCCTCCCCCGATTCTGATGGGAAATAGAAAACAATGTTTTATAAATTAAAACCCAGCAGCTGTGCAGTAGAAGGAATTCTTCAGTTAGAAATCTTGAACGCCTGTATGAGCAGTTATGATATTTCTTAGTTGCTTCAAAAAGCTTTACTCTATCGAAGATTTTTCATGCGGATTGCCATCATCATTTCTATTCTTTCAGGATGATTGCCTGCTGATTTGGTGACCCCTTGCTGCAGGTAAAACAAGCGACAAATGTATGTCTTCTATTCATCTATTCATGAATCAGATATAGGGGAAGAACGCTCCTCTTGATTATGACCATAGGTTTTTTTGACGTCAATGCTACCCTATGATTCATGGCTCTTTCAAGGACTCGGATGTTCTGCGTTCCCCGAGGTCGGCTACCCTTTAATTTGTGCGCATTGGTCCTACTAGCCGTGGGACCGCCGTCACTCGAGTAGAGCCCGCCCCGACCTCTTCCGTGTACTCTTATCCATCGTAATGCTGCTATGCAATCATCCTTTCTAAAGCTACGCTTTGGAATAATGTATTTGCGCTTCTAAATTTGAATACAATATGTGCATCACTTTTTTCAACATTAATAAAATAATATTAAATTCTTATCTAAATATATCCCCTATCACTTTCACATATTATTGGAAGAATATTACTGTTAATTGAAGTTCATCGATAAACAATGCTATTCTCTCATAAAATTCAATAAACATATCTCCTTTCCATTTTTTCCGGTTGGATAATATATTTGTGTATTGCTCACCTCCTTATATTTCTTTTATTTGTCTTAGATAATTCTTCCTACTTCGTTTCTGGGGCTAATTATATATTACCCATTGTAATTAGATATCATAATCCTTATATTTTCAAAAATTATATTGAGATCCTCATATCGTCGTCGACTCTATTGACAAAAATATCGCACATGCTATCACATGTTAAAAATTATATTAAAACAGGGTTAAAAATCATGTGAGAGAACGAGGGGGATATTATTAGGAAACGAAATGATACCTTCTATGTCTTTTGAGGTTTTCTTAGGAAATAAAGTGAGGCACTTGGTAGAAAAGGTCTCTTTCTCTCGTGATCTTGAGTCTTCCTCATCTATTGAAGTTGAAAAAGGAAAACGCTTTCATAAAAGTTATAGAAGGTAAAATTAGAGAATAACATTAAAATTATATTTTTAATCCTGTTTTAATCCTATTTTGCATGCGATAGCATAGTTGATGGTGTGAGAAAAAATAAAATTAAATATTTCACTTTAATGAGTATAAAGATTCAATATAATTTTTAAAAGTGTAAGGATCGAAATATTTAATTAGCCCGTCTCAGCTATAGAAAATATACTGATTGGGAGATATATCTCAACCAAATGCCACCATCGCAATGGACTCTATCAATGCGTTGCGGTCGGATTAGTCGGCATTGGTTCCACCGAGCCATCTGTGTTTCGCTCGAATTCGATCCAGATTAGGTTTAGTCGTGATCCACCCCACCCCAACCCCTCCTCGTTTCCCACTGTTCAGGCAGCATCAGCAGACGAGAGATCAGAGTAAAGCAGGTGTCATCCGCTTTCGTTCTTGACATGTGTTCATGCTTGTTCTTCCACTGTTCTTATCTTTTGCTTTTTGTACAGGTGAGAAAAGCATTTACGGAGTACCGTTGAATCACCGTTCAACGATGCTTTTAACCTTCTGTGACGCTCGTGACAAAATCTTTTGACGAGGAAGGTGCAATGAACAAAGAACAAAGAACAAAGAACAATCTGAGTCACAGCACCACAGATTCTCCTGAATCACGAGCACGGTCCCAATAATATTTGCCTTGGACTTGTTTTCCTTTTTGCCATTTTATTTTCTTTTCGAATGGGATAAGAGAAATCTCACTATTATTCATCTTTCTTTTTTTTAATTACAGAAATAATTATAAGAGAAATAATTTTGTTTCTTTTCATGTCAGTCTAAATTCAATCTTAGGATAAGCATCGAAGGATCGATCTTAAGATGCACATATTGTTCGTATTGATAGAAGATCATGATATCCTCAATTAATGTATGATTTGAGGATCAATTTTACGATTGTTTCTCAAATCATAGATTGATTGAGGATATCATAATCTTCTATCACATGTCAACGTTGATAATGTTGTGTAGAAAACTGATGTCTTTTTAAGACGTCTATATATAAGTGTTGAACTCCAAAAACAATAGCTGAATGTTTTAGGGAGTTGTCTGACGTAACATCAGAGACTAACCTATTGAATGTGGATTCTGCAGGCTTCAACGTAAATGGATTCTACTTTCAAATCGATTAACTTCCAGAAGATGCGAGCTAAATCACTCTCACTGGAGGATAAGTACATCAATGTATGCATCTTTTCATGCTTGGAAAAGATAAAGACAACAAGCACAGTACAAAGAGTTTTTTGGTATTGAGGGGGAGAACACCATCAGACATCATGGGAAGGGCAGAGGAGGGAGATGAAGGTTTGCTTCTCGGTCATGGTCATGGTCATGGTCATTGCATGGACGCATGCATTTCCCGAGGAGAAGCGAATCATCCCAGCAGCCAGCCCTACCCTTTGCTTTCTCGTCGCAGTTCACCGCTGCACTTTAACGGCGCCCGAGGGGAGGGAGAGGCATATCATCCTCTGGTTTCGAGACCATCCCTTCGTTTCAGTACCAGGAGAAAAGCACGGAGAGAGAGAGAGAGAGAGAGAGAAAAGCAAAAGCGAAGGCCACTCACATAAACGCCACACCGCCGGAGGGGGGGGGGGGGAGTTGAACTTGCATGGATGCATAGCAGAAGAAGAAGAAGAAGGAGAAGAAGAAGAAGAAGAAGAAGAATTCAGGGGATCATTATTGGAAGCGAAAAGATGGTCAAACCCATCCTCGAAGACTACTTTTCTTTATCGAAATCCACCAGTTTTTCCTTTTACTTTCTTGAGCATTTCACTACCTGCTGGTGCATGAAAAACACTGAAAGGATATGCTTTCTCCCTCTCCAAAAATTCCTCCAGTCTCTCTCAGCTGTGAATCCAAAGATAAAGCCATCACCATCCATTGTTTTCACCCTCGCACTACTTTAATTAGTCTCCCGATTCCGTGCCATGAAATGCATGCATGCATGCTGGCCACAGTGCAACATTGGAGTGGGCAGATTGAAGCTCTAAAGACCAAACCACTGCATCACTGTATGACAAAGATGAAAGATTTGACAGCCATATTTGACCTAATTACACTGGAAAAAGAATGTTGCTCGATAAGGTTCGATTAGTGTGTGGAATACATATTCTTGTTTGTCTTGTGATGCTCTGTCTTTAACTCTTCCATGTTCCTTGTCCAATCCACTTCTTGTTTTGGAGCATTAGCATGGTGAAAAGATGCATTCAGACAAGGAAATAATAGCATGCGTTGTCACATCAACTCTAGACATCCAACAAGAACAGAGCCAATGTAGGGTGAGAATCATGTAAGGAGGTGGGCAAGGTGGATGCCATGATTCACACATGCATGCATTTCCACCTTCCTCTCCTCTCCATTGTCTAAAAAGATGTTGCCAAGTATGCCTTCTTCAAATTCCCCATAATCTTACCTGTCTTTTGGCCTCCCTCTCTGTGCTGCTCTTTTATCTCCTCCTCCCTCTTCTCTTTTTTGTTCTCCTTTGTTCATCATCTCTGTGATTCCATCGTTCAAGAAGGGGCAGTAAAAAGGAAAAGTGAGAACATTCCTGGGCCTCCACACCCAATTTAGATTCCCAATTATTGAAACCCACATGCAAGTATAAAACCACCCTCCCCTCAAGAACACAAACTTGAAGAACCACACAGAAGAGTGTCATTCTCTTCTCCTTCTCATTCTCCCAGTTAGGGTAAGCCATTAATGATCTCCAATGCTGGTTCTGACTTGTGTTTCTCCACGAACTACAAAGAATCGTTTTCTTGATCTTGTTTTGGGTGTCTTGGTTTGTAGGACGTGGGCGGGAAGATGAACAGGAAGCCGGGAGACTGGAACTGCAGGTCCTGCCAACACCTCAACTTCAGCCGCCGGGACTCCTGCCAGCGATGCGGCGACCCGAGGATGAGCGTGGACAGGTCCGAGTACGCCGCCTTCGGTGGCCGCGGCGGGCCATCGTTCGGCTTCAGCGGCTCCGACGTCCGCCCCGGTGACTGGTACTGCTCCTGCGGTGCCCACAACTTCGCCAGCCGCTCCAGCTGCTTCAAGTGCGGCGCCTTGAAGGATGACTCGGCCGTCGGCGGCGGCGGCGGAGGCTGCGGCTTCGACGGCGACGTGCCACGCTCGCGGGCGTTCGGGTTCGGCGGTGGGCGTGCCGGGTGGAAGTCCGGAGACTGGATCTGCAACAGGTGCCCTCCCTGCCCCCTCCTCTTCTTCGTTCAAACGACTGCATGCATGCATGCACGTCGGTGGTTCGGATCACCTGCATCTCCTTCCATCGTGCGTCTAGTTGCAACCAAAGTAGGAGAGTACAAGAGAATAAGATCCGATTGCTACCAAAGCTTTCACCTCTCCTGTGAACAAGCCATTCATAGTATAATGTTTCGGCTTTGCAGGTCGGGCTGCAACGAGCACAACTTCGCAAGCAGAATGGAATGCTTCCGCTGCAGTGCACCGAGGGATTCAGGCAACCCATCTGCCACTGGCGCTTAATCTAACCTTGCTCTGATCTCCTAAACTCTGGCTCATCTGTGTCATTCCATGGCAGGCACTGAAGTCTAAGGAGAAGATGAAGAAGTGAGCGATGGAAGAGAGCTTATGATACAGCAGTAATATCAAGTTATAATAACTAGTTTTGTCTTTTCGATCACTCCCATGTTGTGTCCCCTTCTCTCAGTTCTCGTTTGCTTTTGTTGTCTGTGACCTCCACCCTACCCTGCACCTCTTCTTATGTCTCTGGAAAAGGGCTTGTCAGCTTCTTGTAGGGTAGGATGGTGATGCTTAATGGATTAGGTAAGGAGAAGTCCCTTTCTGTTTGATTATGAATGGAAGTATATATTGTAGCACATATATGTCCAGTCTCCTCCGATGGGATGTGTGCTCAAACTCATCACCAAGGAATAATGTGTTGGGAAGTGCCTTGGCACTGTGAAATGTCCAACAAAAGCATTTGAGAGCAAAGG